CTTGGTTAAATAAGCCAATAAGATTAGAAAACAGAGAGAGAGTGAGAGAGAGAGCTTTGTGACAGGACAAGGCAAAAATATTTGACTTTCAAATAAGGTTTAGCCAAAACCGCAAGAGAGACGACCTCCCAGCCTCCAGATCGCAAAGTGGGGTTCATTAAGACATTCCTGTACATGTGGGATGGCTTGGCTCATCTCAATATTGACAGGAAGAAGAACACTGAGATAAGACCAGACACTGAAAACACACGGAAGACGAAAGAGAATGAGAGAGAGAGAGACAAAAACTTAGAGAGGGAGAGAGAGAAAAACCTTTCACCTTCAATGTTTCTTTCGCTGTACCGACGGCACTGTCAAACACCAGCAAGATGAACTGGTACTTAGTGGGAAGAAGGGGCCAGGAGGGGAGCGGTGTTGTCAAATGACTGTGTCTTAAGTGGAAGGGGGGGGGGCAGGTAGTGTTTACATGGGCTCGGTGGAAGGGCTTTTCTGGTAGGCCTTGTTTGACATGGCCAGGATAAGTAATGAATATGTTCTCTTTCTTTCTGTTTCCCCCTTTCTGTTCATCGGTCTATCTTCCTTGATATCTGCTATCTTCATCTTGCTATCTCATGCACCATATCCCTCACTTCTTTCTTTCTTTCTTTCTTTCTTTCTTTCTTTCTTTCTTTCTTTCTTTCTTTCTTTCTTTCTTTCAGTTTGGACAAAGCGGCATCTGTTGAAAAGAGGCCTTTAAGCTTTTGGGGGTTTGTGGGGCCACGTTTGTTAATTGTGTGTTTACAGTGGCCCCTATATCCTGCCATCAAGCCTGAAAAAGGCCTATAGGGGAGACCTGAAAGCTCATACTGGTGTCCGAAAGGCCATTTTAGTGAGAGCTTGAAACAATTATAGTGTCAGTGAAGTGCCTGGAAATTCTGCCTGGTTCAGAGCACAAATCATTTGACTTGAAGCATGTTTTGACATTAGTTGTACTTAGTAAGGTTTGGAATGGAGCCCCATTGGTCAGTGTAGATTTTCAGCTAGGACCAGACCCCAAGAGCAATATTTTCTGTATATTTTATATTGTATATTTTATGTATACTTTCATATTCATTCACCTGTATTTCCAATGCCCCCACAAACATCCAGTTATACATTATATTATTAAAAGATGTCTCATTTCTTTATGAAGCAGTTTCAGACACTTTTCACCCCGGCCAGAATTGTGCGATTTTACACCTCTAAGAAGAAAAACATTTTCATCTCCAGGGAGGCAATGTTTTTATCTTGAGGATAGGATTTGAGGAACATGCAGGGTCATAGCCTTCTTGCTTTCTAAAACAGTAGTATTTGACCTTGGTCACTCTCCCTCCCACAGACAGATGGGCCAGGCTTGTTGAAAAACTGCCCATTACCTCAGGACCAATGAAAAATTCAGCACTCTCTGTATGCAAAGTATTCAGTAGTCAGAGGTAGAAGGCAAAGACAACAAAACAGAAGAGAATCAATAACAAAAACGTATGAAGAAGTAGTATGAAACTTGATCATTAGGATTAGGACAAATTACATTTCCAAAGAGTCAGGAAACATTAATAAATTAAACATTGTGCTCGGGTTGTGGCTTTTCTTTTTGTCTCTCTCCCACTGTCTTTCTTACATGCATGCACACACAGAACCGTAGCCAGGGATCCAAGGTGCAGGATGGATGTGAAAGGCTTTGTGTTTTGTCAACAGCACAGCAGCACCTCACATGACTATCCAGTGGACTCACATAGGGAGGACAGGGCAAAGAAAGTGGAAGATGAGAAGAGACAATGGGCGGGGTATAAGAAGAAGGCTGTGTGGGAGAAGGGAGAATAAAGTGGAGAGATTCAGAGAAAATAACCTGAGTAGGTTTAACTACTAGAAGAAAAAGAGAGTGCAGGCAGGAAGAGGCAGGCCCAAAGAAAGAGAGATAGGACAAAGAAGAAAAGGGGAGAGAGAGATTGGCATCAAGTGAGACACAAAGTAAGTGAGCATTAGGGAGCAGGATGGAGTAAGTGATGGGAGGGAGGGGGACACAGTGAGCGAGAGGGTGGAAAAGGCCAGTGGCCTCTGCTCTGTCCCCTCTGTGTGCTGCTAAACTGCCCACCAGTTCCCCGTAGCTCTGTCACTTCTTGTTTGTTAATCCCCCTTTCTTCTCCCCCTCCTAGTCTTCCTCGCTCCCTTTCTCTCAAATCGGTCAATTGTTAATGTGACCCCTTTAAACCCTACCGCCCCTCTCTTGCGGCATTGTCAACACATTATCAGTGTGTACAAGAGAGACATTTATAAAGGGAAGTGCTTGATGAAAGATGGCTTTGCTTGTTTGAAAGAATTTGACAATGTTGTTTTTTGTACTTGTACAGATGAAAATCCGCGGAAACAGCATGTTATGAAGCTACGCGAGTGAATTCTTGTTTTTAATGTTTTTATTAACATGAGTAAGGACTTTACACGAGACATACTGTATTCTCTTAATACTGCACACACCTCCTTATTGATGAAAGAAAAGCAAACAAAATGGCACTTTGTACTACCAATGACAGCTGTGGGTTAGAAAACCACCAACTCGCCTCAGAGAGCTTCTTAAATTGTTGGTGCATACTTCATAACAAACATGAATGAGCGCAACCACCTCATCCACTGAACACCATTTGCTCCTTGATTGTAACACAAAGGCAAAAAATCAAAGCATTACAACATAATTGACAAGCTACAGTATTTCATTTTTCAAATAGCCTTAGCAATTTTTCTTTTTTTGAGGCTTAGTCACGGAAATTGAGGTCACTTGAAGTTACCTTTTGTGAATACAGATGATGATCGTGAACATCAAACAATAGTGCAGCACATTGATAACAAAGCACACAAAATAAAAGTGACAGTGAAATAAATACAAAAAAAAACAAGAGAGAAAGAAGTGAAGCACATATGTACGCATTACATGCATATGCAGCATTTTGTTTTTGATTATTATTATATTTTAAAAGTCAGACCAGCAAATGACCTTTCCTTTATTTCTTAGGGCACCACCCCTTCATTAGAATATATGTTTTAAAAAACTTATAGATCTTGAAGTAATTGTACTTCGGTTCTTATACTTCCAGGATAACTTGTTTATGATTAACACTAACTCAAAAAGCTCAAAGATGACATTAAAGCTGAGCTTTGTTTCATAATACAACTATCCAGCAGACATTAAAGCTGCCGCGCCAAAAGTTGTTGCTGTGATTGACCACAGAAGAATAGAGGGTGAAAAGGCAGACAAGTAAGAACACCGGAGAATAGTTTTAGATTATGTGAAAGTGGCCATGCTGCTACACTAGTACTGTGTCGCATTAGCTATAAAGATTTAGCTATGGCTAGCCTACTGCGTGTCTAAAAGCCCTTTTAATGTAGAGAAGCAGGACCCACAGTTATGACATCAGTCACCATTTCAACAAGAAAAAATAAAATCCACGAGAAGTGGCCAGTAGTTGGAGTTTCCCAGTGCGCTGTTAATGTCAGCTGTTGTGTAATGTTGTGTAATTTTGACCATGCATCACACATCTATTTCTGCAAGAGCGAGAGATTAAGGGTTTAAAGATACTAAAAAAACTTCTGCTTTAGTCACTTTCAGCATGAGCACAGTTAACATCTGCAGAGAGAAATTAAAGTACTGTAAAAAGTAATTGGTTCATACATTCTGAGTGTGCCCTTTTACACGTACTGTCTGTGTGTTTGTTTATTCCCATTCGTGAAATGAAAAAAAAAAAAGAGTGGGAGAGCAGATTCTTTATCTGCTAGTAGTTTATTTCAGAGAGGAAGGACTATCTCTGCTTGCAGCTGTTAAGCATCTGGTCTCAATGATCATGCTGGAATGAATGAAAATCTTAAAAGCCATGAAGGAAAGACACTTCCGTGATCCCTTTTTCCCCCTCAAGTGACAAACAGGTGCCCCTTTGAAATAGGATAAGTAGGGAATACATCCACTTCGTTCTAGTTCTTAGGAGCTGTATCAGTTGTAAGAGTACAAAAACATTTGCTGTGAGTGAACACGTTTCAGTGTCAGGTGTTCAAAATTTGTTTTTGTTTTCTATATGTTGCGTGTTTTTGTTTCTCAAATGTATTCATATTTCTTTGTGGATTCAATTTCTGTGTTACTATAGTAAGTTATATTAAGTTTTAGCTCAGTCAGCTCATGTGGAATGGATTTATCATGAATATACAGAGTATGTACAGAGTTGATAATGGCTGACCCTGCCAGCATACACCAGCACAGCAGAGAGTACAGAGTGATGATATTAAACCTCTCCCCCATCAGAACATCTGAACCTACAGGTGGATGTTGATGTAGATGCAGAAACAGCGGCAAAATCACAGTAGTAAAATTACACACAAACCACAGCATTAAACCGTCATAATGCGTTTGCCAAAGACCCCAATCAGAGCCAGTCAGAACAAAGCCAAAACACTGGCTTACAGTAGTACAAGCTCGCTCGTGAAATGCAACGTGAACAGCAGAAGAAGCAGGCATTTGCAATGTTACAGCAGTGTTTGCAAATAAGCAGAGCGTCAGAACAAAGAGAGACTAACGTCACCTTATTGCAAAGGTTGTGTTAGATGTATGGGTATCTAGCCCAGTATATTAAAGCAGCCCACTTTGAAAAGTCTGCCTGAACTAGCGCACTTTTCTTTTTTGAGTATATTTAAACATGATACACCTCATTGCTCTTTCTGACATTTGACAGAACATTTATTTCTTAATCTTATTATAACATAACAGATAATGAAACCTGTGTTACTCCAAATACTTGCTTCTTTTTTAGCAGCTATTCTTTATTCTTAACACCCTCTAGCAGCAGTTCATACATATTTATAACGCAATCCCAGACTCTTGTTAGTGCTCTTTCCTCTGCAAAAATGTATTATTGATGATTCATGACTGTGATTTCAACGTGTTTTTCCTGTCTCTCTCTCCCAACTAAACTTTCTCTTATTTTCTCATTTTGCCTGTTTCATAGGCAATATATTGGACAGTATGCTGCTAAGAGCATCCAGTAAGGAGGCAGTGGAGAATGGGAAGGAGACTAGTGGGAGCACAGCTCCTTCTTCATCCTCCCAAAGATTACTGTGGTGTCACTGTTATCACCACTGCCCCGAAGATTCAACCAATAATACATGCAGGTACTGTAGGGGTGGAGAAACAAAAAAACAACAACAAATGTAACACACAAATTAAAAAATTCACTTGCACATATACAAACACAGACATTCACACATATAATATTACATTGCTGCCATTTATCTCAACTGGAGTCTGAAATAATAACGGCTATAAAGGTTTGGCAGGCATTTGAACACAGGTAGTACATACACCTGTGATCTTGCATTCACACACAGTGTTGATGATGATACGTTTTTCATAACATTAGCTGCTTTACTTATTGTATTTAACCCTTATTTTGCAGGACGGATGGCTACTGTTTTACCATGGTGGAGGAGGAGGGAGGGGTACCTGTTCAGACTGCAGGTTGCCTGGGGCTGGTCGGGTCAGAATTTCAGTGTAGGGTGAGTACATGACCGTAACATTACAATCCACATGACTCTCCCTGTTGCAACCACTTCCTTTGCTTCTTCTATCTCAGATCTTTAAAAGGTTTACATTTTTAAAGACATAATCCATATGGAAATAATTACACGAGGGGAGTGAATAAAAAATTTAAATAAATTCTGCCCTGACTCAGTACTTTATACACTATTTCCCTTTTTATGACTTATTTGTAACACAATAAAATTTAGAGCTCTAGCTAATGATTATTTTCATTGCTGAATAACCTCTTGATTATTTTTTGATTTTTAAAATTTCCCAGAGACCAAGGTAACATCTTCAAATTCCTGTTTTGTCTGATCAACCACCAATCATCTCAAACCCAAGGATATTCAATATACTATGACACTAAACAGAGAAAAAACATGATTAATCTGTTGTCAAATTGTTGAATATCCCGGTTGATTGACTAACTTAATCAGCAACTGAACGCAGAAAGTCAAAAAAAAAAAATCCCTTTTCTGTCTTGCAGGACACAGGGAACTCGCGTCAAAGGAGATCCCTAGAATGCTGTACAGACCAGGATTACTGTAACAAAAACCTGCATCCTACACTGCCACCGCTCAAACCACCTCGTAAGTTTTTCCATCTACTCGCATCACTCCACAAGTCTTTCTTGGCCATGAAACACAAGAAATATTTTTTAGGGCCACTTGTGATAGTGATAGGTGATGGACAGGGCCAAGAACTGAGACTGATGGTGTAAGAGCACACGGGATTCGGAGATAGCGATATCCTGACATTGTCAGGGAGTCAAAAACGGCCAAAGTGGGGGAGACAGTGGAAGGTACTGTCAAACTGTCCTGCAGCTCGCCAAAGCTGCTGGGTGTCGAGAGAATACTGAGGTCTACTGTGTACAACACTATACTCATGTGTGAGTGTGAGAGTCTTTTTGTGTATTTGAGAGACAGTAAGCCTAGATTCCCAGGGAAATCACATGCCACAGCAGACTCTGAGGGCAGAGTCATCAATCAGAAACCCTATCATAGAGGAGCAGGAAGAGAATTCATTGACTAGGCTGAGGGCTTCCTCTCGCTGTAGAGTGGGGCCTTGGGGGAAAAGGGTGTGTGCCAGAAGTAAATGAAAAATTGATGAGTGAAATATGATTTGTACTTGATTTACTGTACACACGTTCTTTCAAGGATGACTGATTTCTTGGTATAGTTTTTTTCTGTTTCCTCCCCATGGTTTAGGGATATCGGAGGTTTTGATTTGTTTTGGTGTTTTTTTTTTGTTTTGTGGTTACAGCTTAAGTTTTTTGAGCAGAAAATGGTTCCAAGCACTTTTCTTAAGAATGTTGAGTTGTTGGACATTCATGATATTATTGTGGATCACTGACAAAAAGAATGGATGCAATTTTTTTCTGAAATTTTTTGTGTCCCTTTGTACCTTTAACTTACTTTTGTTCTCTCACCTCTTTGTCCTCCCCTCTCTAGTCTACGTAGATGGAAAGATCCACCACATGGCCTTGTTGATCTCAGTCACTGTGTGCAGCATTATACTGGCTGCCATTATTGTCTTCTGCTACTTCAGGTAAATTACATGTGAACCCCCCCCACCCACACACCACACACACACACACACACACACAAATCCATATTCATTCATACGTACAGTTTACACCCTATAAAGATCCTAACATTGTAACACACATTCAGTGCATGTTTGTATTCCGTCTGGTGTTTTTACAGGTATAAGCGTCAGGAGTCTCGTCCTCGGTACAGTATTGGTCTGGAGCAAGATGAGACTTACATTCCCCCTGGAGAATCGCTGAAGGATCTGATTGAGCAGTCACAAAGCTCAGGCTCAGGCTCAGGGCTCCCTCTATTGGTGAGACACTAATATTGCAGCTAAATACCTGTCAGATAAAAAAGATGCTCCAAGGATGCCTTAAATACACATCATACCCCATGGTTTCCTACTTGATCATATTTTGTCTCATGTATTTCCATATAGGAAGTTTATTGGAAGGTTATACTATAAGATTTTATGCATCTTCTACATGAGCTCCAATGTCCTTTTTAAGGGTCACTAAATCTTAGTTTGGAGGTTTCCATTCTAAGATATAAGGAGCCAAATCTGCTGAAACACAATGCAAAACACATCAACCCCCTAACCCTAACCCAAACCTTTTTCCATCTTTTGCTCCTCCTTAGGTGCAGAGAACGATAGCCAAGCAGATCCAGATGGTGAAGCAAATAGGCAAGGGGAGGTATGGAGAGGTGTGGATGGGCAGGTGGAGGGGAGAAAAAGTGGCCGTTAAAGTCTTCTTCACCACTGAGGAGGCCAGTTGGTTCAGAGAGACTGAGATTTACCAGACCGTCCTAATGAGACATGAGAACATACTGGGTAAGTACGGTTTCTGTATTTGGTCAGTGTATCCGCTTGTCTCTCATGTGTTACTTCTTTTAGCCCGGCCCGCCTGTTCTTCCTGATTTCTTGTCTCTCTTTCTAATGTTTTGTCTGCACCTCTCTGTCAAGCCTGTTGTTGTCTGTCTCTTAAATTTCCTCTTGTGTTTAAAATTATCCAAGTATACTCTTGGTTCCCATTGCAACTAACAAAGTGCTCAACAGGGATTTGACAGATGATAAATTAGTCTGTCTATTATAGCAGCAGTAATCCTTAACAATCTTAAATTATCGACCAACAGATGGATGCATTGGTTTCGAATGGATATATGGTATGAATGTCATGTCCGAGTTTTGTAGCACAAGTAAGACAATAAAAACACGCCATAGTTGGAGTTGGACTGTGTTCATTCTTAACTATTCTGCACCACACTTGTCTGAGTGCCAAAACAGATCAATTATAGCCAAGAGGCCACACACCACAACAAATTATAAAGTAGACAACAACAGACTGCAAACCAAAGCTTGCATAATTAAACACCACAAGATGCATAGTAATTAAGTGGTGGGGCAAAAGATCACTTGCCAGTAAACTAGAAGACAGACTATTTGCTGCAATGCATAATGTTGCTTTCCACAGCCTATGTTTGGTTTTAAATTGAGCATTAGGACCTGTAATCTTCGCGTCGTCAAATCCACCAAAACAGGCAACTGCCGAGATGAATCAATTCTACAGTACAGTTTCCTAAAAACAAAGTTAAATGTTAAACCTTAAAATGACCTATACTTATACTGATGATTTTAACAAGTTAGTTTAGAAAGTAATTTCCCCCTTGTATAGTGAATTACCTTCCTGCACAGCATGCAAGCTTAAAAAAAAGATAAGACAATGAAACCGATCTGTTCTGCTCTACTTCTATGATTGAGCCAGATTGATTCATCTTCACACTTAAGTTTAAAAGCACACAATTACAGACATAATTAACAGTATATAATGCCTGCCTTAATTATAAGCGCTAAAGCCACAATATTTTGCTCAAATTCAGCCAGTGTTATGGAACGGGGAAAACCCGTTCCCTGACTTCACTGTAATTCCCTGCCTGTTAAACGCCTTCTCTCTTGCCTCCATTCCCTGCCCACTCTATTCACAGGTTTTATAGCTGCTGATATCAAAGGAACTGGCTCCTGGACCCAACTCTACCTGATCACAGACTACCACGAAAATGGCTCTTTGTATGACTACCTCAAATCAACCACTCTAGACAATAAAGCCATGCTGCGACTGGCTTACTCCTCTGTGTCGGGCCTTTGTCACCTCCACACTGAGATCTTTGGCACCCAGGGCAAACCTGCCATTGCCCACAGGGATCTGAAGAGCAAGAACATACTGGTGAAAAGAAACGGGACCTGCTGTATAGCTGACTTAGGACTGGCAGTCAAGTTTATCAGGTGAGTGTGTCAGGGACATGTGTTGATGAAATATTCCTCCTTAATTCTTGATTTGAATCCATGTTTTGCTGAATATAAGCCCTGGTAGAGGGTTGGAAATGTATTTTGAATTTATATTTGGTAATGTGCTCAGCTAATACATCTTTCATTTTAAATTGTTACTTGATGATATCTGATTCTGCAGTGACACCAATGAGGTAGACATCCCTCCCAACACTAGAGTTGGTACAAAGCGCTACATGCCTCCAGAGGTTCTGGACGAGACTCTGAACAGAAGCCATTTTCAGTCGTACATCATGGCCGACATGTACAGCTTTGGGCTCATCCTCTGGGAGATCGCTCGCCGTTGCGTCTCCGGAGGTAAATACAGTAAATATGCTTCTCATGTATTTATTTTTGACTCTTTAAACACCTTCTAAAAGCCAGACACCCACAAAAACCTAAACATGTGCTTGTTTGATGGCTATGCAGTATGAATTTTGAAAACAACACATGAACAAAGTGTGTTTCTTCCGTAACTTATTTGTTGTAGGAATCCTTGAAGAGTACCAGTTGCCATACCATGAGCTAGTTCCGACAGACCCTTCATATGAAGACATGAGAGAGGTGGTCTGCATCAAGAGACTGCGACCATCCTTTCCTAACCGATGGACCAGTGACGAGGTAAAATATTTACATATTACACATACACATCCACAAACCCACACACACTAATGAATGACCTTCCTAACATAAAGCTGTATTTCTTCAGTGTTTGAGACAGATGGGGAAACTGATGACAGAATGCTGGGCCCACAACCCAGCCTCCCGCCTCACAGCCCTACGGGTCAAAAAGACACTTGCCAAGATGTCAGAATCACAGGACATCAAGCTGTGAGCGGGCACTGCCAGGTGTGTGTTTCCACACATAGAAAGGGCATTAACAGTCACACTGGCTCTGGTACAGGCCGCACAATCCTTTGTCCTTGGAAGAGGAAGGCAGGACAGGAAGCAAGATCATCACATGGAGATCGAAGAATCACAGACTTTTGAGTCCAGATGCCCAGAACTCTGCCTACCAAGTTCCCCTCGAAAAATGTATTACAGGACTACGGTGGTTAACTAAAGCTTAATTAAACACAGCCAGGCCCTGTGTGGCCCCTGTTTCGTCCATCAGAGAATATGAGACAATTTAATTTCAGACTAGTGTGAGGACTCCAGGTTCCTGTTCCTGTTCACATACTCCAGAGGCCTTGGAGAAAGAGATTGAGTTTGACTTAGCACTGTAGCTGCAGAGATACGCAAACAAGCTACTGACCAGTCAGTGGAATACCACATCAATGCTTTCTGTGAAAGCTACCCTACCTGCAGGTAAAGGTCCGATTGATAGAACGGAAAGGATGTGCTTTAACGCAATCTGTTATTGCAGCATGATATCTTTCAAAAACACTGTCACCCCACTACTGCCTTTATGTTGTAATTGAAATTAATTTAATTAATTAAATTGACTGTTTTTGGTTACAATGACTGACACTATGTGGCAGGGAAGAAAAGTAAAAAAATGTTTACGCTGGTAACATTTGTAGACACTGAAGAAAAGGTACGCCAGTACTTTTGAGTTTGGATGGGATATGAAAGTTGCAAACGTGCATTTTGCATGTAAGACTCAAACTCTTTAAGGCTCTATGTGAAAAATAAAGTTTATATGTCCAAATAAATTCTGGATTGAGGCTGTACATGCCTCCGTGTTTCCTTGCCCTCCAGTAAATAAAGAGGGGGCATTACAGTAATGGAGCGACTGAAGCAGAACGGTGCCATCCGTAGGCGCTCCACAGCAATTACAGGAAGGGAAGTCTGCCAAGGCAATCAGACACTCTTGTATACTAACTGTAGTGGTGACTTCTTGCTTGATGATGTAGTGATCTGTTATAATTGTGTGGAATTGTGCCTGTGTTAGTTTAGGGGTACCACAAGTTGTTTGTCATGGGAGACTGCTATCATTCACTAACTCCTAGTAATACAGAGTGCCTCCCATAACTAGGCTGATGATGAATGTGTGTTTTAGGCAGCTGGACCAGAAGCCTTCACTGGAGATATAACAGTCAAACACACAGTATTGTTGAAAAATGAGCTGGTCCTAGAAAGCACCCGAGTTATTCCCAAACTATTGCACCACCAGAATTACTATGTGGACATCACATGGCCACCTATCCTGACCACCAGGCTGCCTCATACATGTGAATGAAAAGTACATGTTGAACTGCCTCACCATAACAAACCATTTGCAGCTTTCACACTGAAATCAAATGGCAAAAAAAACCTCACCTGGCTTCTATCAGGCGAGCTTCTCCACTAATTCTAATTCTTACATAGTAGCAGCCAAGTACTAGGAAGCTTAAACAGCCTTACTGCCTCAGTATGAAATGGTTCTCAAGGTAAATCTGGACACCTTTCATCATCACAGTAAGCAGACTGTACGGTCTTCCACGGCAGTCTGCCGTCACAGCAGCTGCAGTTGAAATTCCCCTCAAATGGCACAAATCATTTAATTCTAGCTTTTTTTTTGTCCATTAGTAAAATCCTTGATAAACTTTCCTCCAGTTCAGTTTATTTGGGTCTCTGCCAACGAAAATAATGGAATGCTCTGTCACTGCAGCAGATTTGTTGTGTTTTAAATGCCCTTTCTTTCCTCTTGGGTGTTGTGCCTTATTTAATCTGTACCTACTGTAGTTGTCTGTGAGAGAAAGTGGTGTTTTTATTCAGTAAAAAGGTTGAACATTCCCCCAATAAAGTGTTTCACTCATCCACATGGCTAATGCACAATTTGTGGCGACTGAATGAGGTGCATACTAATAAGTCACTTGGCAGCACCTCTTAATGTTAAGGCCTGCTCTCCATATTTTCTTTGTTTAAAAAAACCCCCCGGCATGCCTCATTACAACCCACCAGTGCTGCTGAGCACACAGCATGTTAAACAGTGACACCACAAGGATTTTCTGTTTCAATTTCCTCCCCTTCAGGGTACTTTATCCAACTACCTATTGAGTCTAGAACCTGTAAATACGAATTTCACAGAATAAACGGTATAAAATTAAAGAATTGCAAGGCAAAAGTACAGTACACATTCATGGTCTACAAGTTGCATTTGTGACCATTGACCCCTGACAGTACAAGCTCAAGTAATAGTACATGTGAGAAATGTAGTTCTGCAGAAAAAAACACCATATGCACTACACACTTTCAGCGTTGCTTATAAATATAATTTATTAATTGTCTTAAAAATTCTTTCTTACACTTTGTACAGAAAACAATTAGAGATAGAGAGGCAAGCATTCAGCAAGATTGAGCAAGATTCATGAAGCGTGCCAGAATTAGCTAAAATGGACCAACACTAACCCGCACTAATCAAATCAAATCACCCCTGATAGTAAAATAAAAATGCACTTACAAGCACAGCTCTAGTTATAGACTTCTATCATGATAACCAATGCCAAATTTGCATAGTAGACACTGCTTTTACAAAAAAGGAAAGGAACTTAAATAAAAACTTGAAACATACAAACTAGTATCTAACTGTACTGCTCTTTTTTATATTCTCAAATTTGCCAAATATAGCTGACAGTACACAACTGTACATACCGTGGATAGAAAATATTTTTACATACTTTGATATCTTAACACTACTGCCTTCATTTTCACATCATGAAGGTTCACCTTCTGGAGGCCTACATTTGCTCTCCTCATGAAAACTCCCCTTTTTCAGTCTAACAAACAGTCTACTCTGCTGGGACAACCGTAGACTGGGAACATGGCTAGGATCCGATTTTGGGTGAACGCAGTACACAGAACACAGTAACTGATAACTTTAATTTCTTCTCAATATTGTATTCTGCATTTTGAGTTCATGAGGGATGTTGGTGATTACATTGAAAGAGACACTGTCATGACCTTTGGGTTCATATTTTGTTCTGAAACAAACTGAATGGATGACTTGATGATTTAGGCTTTTATCCTCAAAATTCACACAACTCTTCCCTTTTGATTTCCTCACATCTGACAACAGCAGTTGAATTTTTTTTTAAAAAGTATACAAAACATCTGCTCTGTCATTTAACCACACACCTTTTCTAATCTGTTTAATAAGGCCATCCAAAATGAAAACATATTTAATTTTGCGGCCCCTGTGTCCACTACCTCTGGTTTTACATCGATATAAGAGGTCAGATTTTCAACTCACATATTTCTGACCATCTACACAAAGAAAGAAAAATCTATGTGAAAAATCAATGTCTCAGGGTTTCCTCCAGTGTGGACAACAACAAGATGAAATCTGTCATGAAGAGGTAAGAATCTGACCTTTAGTAGAGGTGTTAACTCAGCCTTTGTTTGTCAGCCCACTTGGATTTCTTTACACTATCTTCTTCAATATCTCCTCTCCATAGAGGATGGTCAGTTTCATATGGTGTCTCTCCAGGGTTCAGAGACGAAATATCTGAATTTGAATATTTTACATGTACGTTTTCTTTTAACTAAATGTTCACACTGTCACTAAAGCCACTACAAATAAGGCTGCTTGTCTTTCCTCAAAGCAGACTCATTGGAGTCAACCCTTTTTTCATCAAACACTGTTGACCTGAGTCAATGCATACATTTGAAAGCCGTCCTTGGTTCTCAATGTTGTTCTGCAAAACACAAATATATTACACTTCATTTTACAAAGGCCCTTCAGTTGGTATCTCGACCTTTAGCTCTAAATTGCAGCTTTATCAACTAAATACACCATCAGTTGGAATGTTAGTTGCTGACAGAACATTGTTTTAGATAAAAGGGCAACTAACTGATATGTTACAGATTTTATCCTCCCTCCCACCTAAAAACATTAAAATGGAAACAAAAAATAATCATGTGAATGAAAAGAACACAATAATGACCACTGAACAAAAATGTTGTGCTAATACAAGGTCATTAGAATGAACATGATAATCATGTATTTACACGTTTCAGAAGATCAAGGAAAACGTAAATGCTGTTATTCTTCAAAAGCCACTGGATGGTGCTAGTGACCAGCAAAGTCATGGTGGTGATCACAAATGAAATCACATGTGGCCTGATGGCAGATAACACAACTGACATCCTGTGATGATGGGACACTGAAAATATTAGAAAAAAAAATAAAACAAAATTATATATATATATATATATATATATATATATAGGCTATATATATTTTAGTAAATGAAAATATGATTGATAAAATCTGTATATTGGGTACATTTAGCGGTAATGAATGATATCAGCTTTATTTTATTCACTAGCACATAATACTATGGTACTGTGTATATTACTGTTATATTGTTGTTAAAACAATTGTGTTTTCATTTCGAGTTCATCCCTTTTTGCTTCCTCTCTCTTTTCTCTGAGTTGGACCCTGTCCAGAAACAAGCCCCAACAATCTATCAAAGAGACTCCCGGATCTGTGGTTAACCAAATGCAATATCCATGGCTGGCATTCTACCATGCTGCATCACCAAAAGACTCCTCTTTGGCGAGGAATAAATCATCAGCATTACTGCAAATAGTATGTCAATACTTGATTTTAGGCTGAGATGCGTTTGTAGCTTGAAGATCATCATTTCAATGGCTTGTGGTAAACCTCCAATAGGTGCTGAAATGTTTTTGCTGCTTGCTTATGCAAGCTTCTTAGTATAATGTACTGTACTATATTTTGCATGAGAATGAATAGCTGGCAGTCTGCACCTTTGTCTCATTTATCTGTTTATCATAAGTGGAATCTTATATATACCTCAAAACAGACAATTTCTTAAGTCTGTCACAACCGTACACTACTATAAATGGCAAACAAAAAATAATTTTTTGCATGCATCCATCAAGGGTGTAACCGTCTTTAGGACTGGCTTCTTCAAGAACATTAGAGTCATAAGTTAAAAACTACAGGACATAAAGTTCAGTTGCCTTTGACTTCTACATTTCCTGTGACCTGCATGATTTAACGTCTTGATACATTTTGGAGGAAATCCATGACTGTGATGCACAAAATCTAGTGACTCAGCCAAAAAGGGAAACCTGTTGTCTTGGGCTCATTTCTGGTCAGGATCCTTGATTGACACTGCTTAGCAAATTCTGTTAGCAGGAAATGATCCACACATATGGACAGCAGAATACATAGAGCGTTCCCTAGGAAACGATATAAAGACAACAAACTGTACTGGCAAACATGTACAGCTCACAAGGCTCACAAAAGAAGAGTGGGTTCTCTCCCCTCTCTCATTATCTGTTTTCCATCCTGTTACAGATGATCACATACGTCCTCTTCCATCATTTTATGTTCACATCTTCCCTTCCCTTTCTTTGTAATCAGTTTGGCTTCTCTCTGTGTTTACTCTCATCTAACTAAAGATTCTTGTCTCCAAGTCACCCTCTCTTATTTTCCTCACTCTACCTTCTCCCATTCTTTTGTAATCAGTTTAGCCTCTCTCTCCGTTTATGATTCTGTTCCATTCCTATAGAGGTTTTCAAGGTCAGTACCTCTGTTGCTTATTTTTTCTTTTCTCTGCTTCTCTTTGTTCAGTATACAATAACAGCAAGAGAACAACTGGTGTTACACTAGACATGGTCTTTTTTTGTTTTTAAGTGTGTGTATGTTTTGTTTGTTCCCGATAGACACTGTTTGTGTTGGGTTATCTCTCCTTAGGTCACAAACGACACTGCAACGTTGCTCAAATAAACACACAAAGATACACACATAGTTCCACCACCAGCTCGAGCACATCCTTGTTCTGTCTATTGCCATGTCGGCACGATTACCATGGTTTTTAATTGGTGCTCAATCACCATTTTGACAACATTTCTTTTCATTGCCCTTGCTGCAGTATCAACCGTAGTGAATTCACGTGTAATCGTCTCCAACCACGTTGCTTCATCAGTGTTCTGTTGTCATGGCGGTGAGGTTACCATCATGGCGACCCATCTCTTCCAGCACTGCAGCCAATTCATTTAGGTCTCCATCAGGGAAGTGCTGGGCCTCCCAGAGATCCAGGATCACACCCGTAGGACTGGACTTGGTGGCAAAGTAGTTCAGGTACCTGGATGATGAGGGACAAAAGATATGTTAAGCAGAATTCTCTCACTTTCAACTGTCGTAAGGCTCGTGCAGACCACACGACTTTCAGCGTCGTCATATTGCTGTGCTTTTCAGACTACGCCATTTGCTGTCTTGTAACGGGAGTTCACACTACGTGACTGACTGGTGACGGGTCACACACCACACTAGCTGACAAAAGACTCTGTCACCCAAAGGCTGGTCTCCAAACCACGTTTTGTCAAGAAAACACGTGAAAAAGAAAAGGGAAATGACGTAAAACTACACACAAAACAGGAGTTGTTTATTATTATAAAGATAAAAATGATAAAGAATATGGTGAAATAATGGATTGGCACACACAGGCAGCAGGGATTGTCTGTGCTACAGAGAGAGCTGAAGGTGAGTAAAAAGTAAAAAGAGTTTTTGTAGTATCTGCTATCTGCTATAAAGCTGCTATCATTGGCTGCCAATGTCAAGTCGGCCTCCAGATATTTAGCAGTAGCGCAAGTGCCGATCGATCGCTGATTTGCTCCCAAACACAGAATTATCACATCAATAAATGATAATAAATAAAAAATTTTTTTACACATTTTCATAGAATACAAATGAAAATAGAAATAAATGATTTCTTAGCTTAGATGAATATGGATGATGGGTCATACAATAACCGCATATTATAGTATGAAATAATAACCAGTTATGTAATCTGGGATATTGATTTTCTTTTTTTTCTTTTTTTTTTTTTTTTCTGTTGCTATGGCACTATTCACACAAGTATGTGGTAATATTACCACATCACACAACAAAAAATACAGCAGATCATCAAAAAATAACTTTTACACAACTGTAAGTATTCCTGACATTGACTGAGTACAACAAAAACATGTAGAAAGACATGTTTCACATGGAAATACATTATGTTCATACAAAGTACATGCATAACTTTGGATAAGATTTTCTTCTGTATTTTTAAAATACCTTTTACTTTCATTCATTGCTCATTGCTCATGCTCATTGGTCCTAATTGATGGTTGCCAAATCATTTACTTAATAAACATGTATGCATTGTTGTTTATATTGCCTGATATGTTCAGATTTAAAACTTTAGAATCACCACCCTAAGGCGTGAGATTTTTATGTGGCCTCAGTGGGATTTAAACCAACAACCTTAGTGCAAGTAGCTTAGTGCTTTAACAAACAGAGCCACAAAGGACCACTGCAACAATTACAGTATGTACAATACAATACTGTAAAATACACTACATGATTATCATCCATAATTATTGTTGTAGTATTTGTTACATTTGATTAGACAAAACCTATATGTTGCAATACTGTAAAATACAGTAAAGGTTTGTTTCTTGCATCAGTGACTGTAGAGGATGTCGTCATTGATCACAACTTGATTACATATAGGATAGATATTACGGAAATGATAGATTCTGTAAATGTGGGGTAAGTGTATTGCCTAATGTGAAAACTGTGTCATCTGTCTTTTACAGTACAGTAGCATACTACTTTCAGCACTCCTAAGGCGATTTGAAACATGTATCTTGAATTGTTTGTTATTGGATTCACTGGTAGTTAAAATAACTAAGCTGAAAAGATACCATTATGTGTGTTTTGGTGATTATACCATTTGTTCTCATGACATTTCACAAGAAACTTATATTTTGAATTTTGTGTGGTGAGAGATGTTTACAATTCAAATTAATGCCAATGAAAAATATTCTGAATTTTACTGTGGACAGGTGACAAATTGGACCCTTTTATTTATTACTAATGCTATAGAAGTTATGTAAATGTAATGAATTTGTATGTGCCGTGACTCTGATTTATAAGCTAAAATCTTGTTGAAAACTCCTGATATCTGACAAAACAGCAAGACAATCAGAACAAGAACTACCTATAAAGGAACACCCTTGATTACATCCTGAATACAACATGATATAAAATGTAACGAGTGAAGGACAAAATCAAATGTGGCAGGTGAATCCTTTTTAGAAAAGTTGCCATCATGTATGTTCAGTTCCAAACCTTTTAAACAAATAAGAAAAATAAACGCATTGTTGTAATTGCATTAGAGCACAGAAACGTGCCAACAAGTCTACAGGGAGGAAAATGTTCATAGTAATGGTAAATACTAAAGCTGAGTCAAGTACACAATGGCTGCAGAGGAAAAGTCAGACGCTGAGCCATCTGTGACAAAGACCTCAATGCTGCTTTAGTGGAAAAGCCATCAGATTGGAGTCCCATGGGGATAAAAATGAGACTCTGTAAATCCTGTGATTGTACTGTTGGCACACTCTGGTACTGTTTAAACACAACCAGAGTCATGTACTTCACTCCTCTGCTCCTTTCTGTCTCTAATCCAGCAGTTTCTCCTCTTTTTCATATTTTCTGTCACTCAAAACATCTAATAAGCTATTTTCATTACTTTCTTTCTTACTTTGTTACTTTCTTTCTCACTCTCTGTCCCAGTCTCCAACTGTCTGCAGTACGTGAAAAGAGGTATCCTGCTGTTAAGTGAACTGAATTGCTGAGATCCACCTTTTGTTGTTTGTTTCAGTACAATAGACCAAAATGTTCAAAATTCTCTGTTTGTTTGTCTATGTCTGTGTGCAAGTGCGCACAGCTCAGGTTTCACTCCTTACATTTACATGAGTATGGTAGTTTTGCGAGAAGAGATTGATGTGACGGGAAAGCATGAGTCATACTTTGAAGTCAAACAGACATGACGTGGCGGTTACAAGAGCAGAGAGGACAAAGGATGGTATTTCCTTGTTAAACCATTTTATCATGCTCCTTTTGAAGAGTAGCTTTTAGTGGAGATGTGGAAGTAAACAACAATTTGGCTAGCTGTCCATTTTTCACAATATTTGGTGCCCACATTAACAAACTACATCATGGGCTGGCCGCCTGTTAGCATAATGAGGTGCACTTGTGCCCAATTATCCTCTCAATATCTGCTTCTGCTTCAGTAGCTGATGGTAAATGGACCTCCGGACTGAATTATCGAGTCACACGTCTGGGGATAAAGATGCTACCTGTGAGTCAGATGCAAATAGACAACTGCACCTTTACTATTTACTGTCGGTGCATGGAAGTCCAGCAGTGCTTTATTTTACTCAAACTCTACAGGGATGCATGTCAAAAATAATGAAATGTTTTGAAATTGAGTTACCAGACTTTTTGTGCACAGTTTAGAGTACAGATGTACGTTCTATAAGAAAAGATTAGTTGTCAATGTGATTTTGCCTCTGTGGTATTTGTATGGGCATTGTATCTTTGCGTCCATTGACATACAATAAGGGACAGAATAAGAACAAGAATAACATTCCAAAAAGACTGATTCAACTCAGTAGAGCTGCACCATTTCAATTCACAGAAATTGACTCAAAGCTCAAAACTTAAAGAGGTGAGACAGGCCACCTTGATGAGCTGCCATCAGTCCCCGCCCCCTCCTCCAAACCAAGCAAAACACCTAAGAGAAGCATACAAATAAATTATAAAACAAATGTGTGTGTGTGTGTGTCACCTGTCAAGGTTGAGTTTGTGGGCCAGCATCCTCCAGTCATTGCCTCTGGTCTGTGGTGCATCTAGACTGCCACACAGCTTCTGTCTGATGGATAAAGGAATGCGGAAGGCATTGGGCCCCACTAAGGTTGTGATATTACTGGCTGGGTCCATCAGGGATGTGTCTATGCACTGGAGCTCCTGGAAAGTGAGACAGAAACCGGTCAATTCTTGGTTTAATTTAAAATGTTTAATCAACAGAGAAATTAGGTGTCTACATATTTTCTACAGTGGAGACACAAAATAACAGGGATGGAGCTATGAACACTATACCAAAAAGCCTTAAAAGTAACATGGATCATGCATCCTTGTGGCAACATTGGTAAAGTTAAAGCCATCATATTTCGACTTCAAATATGTCACAATCTCGGCCCTTCTGACAAAGATTCTGCTCGTCTCTCTGCTCCTTGCCTTCAGTGTGACCAATTAAATATAAGTCATTAATACAAGAGTGAACCAAACACAAAACTATGCTTCCAATCACACTCTCTCTCTCTCCTTTCATTGTCGATCTCTTTCTAAACCTTCATCCCATTAATCTGCCACTCCTGGGCTGAAAGGAGGCAGCGGTCTAATGAATGTGGCTTGGCAGAGGGAAACAACAACTGCCACTGTTGATGTGAATGATTATTATTTACTGCATCTACTTAGCTCCAATTTACAGCAGAAAGCTTTCTGCTGCTAGAGATTGAATGACTGATGCAAAGGGGCATCACTGTTTGTCTGTTGAAATAATAAATGCTTTAAATCTGCTTTACTTTTCATTTTTAAACATGCAGGACACTGCTGGGTTGGTGGATTGTCTACAGCATTTTATTTAACACATGCACATGGAGACTTGCTGAAATTTTCTTTAGCTTTTCCGCCTCCTAATCACCATGCTTGCTAAACATCCCATGTGATCATAGTAATTATTTTGTAAGACTAGGTATGGCTTATTAAAAATGGATTACAACTGATCACATAACAAAATATTTAGGCTGTTTGTTTTGTTTTTATTTGTCAGAAGGCATAATGAAGTAAGTAGAGAATCACATTAGGAAGTGCAGGTGAAATACGAGATGGGTCATTATGCTTTCTTTCACTGTGTGATTTTTCCAGCTCTCACATTTTAATAACTGCAAGAGAGAAGACACACCGGCAAATCATCACAATTTATTTCAGTGAATCCACACTTAAAAGGCAAAAAACGCAGTCCCCATGTGTGTCTTTCTGCAGAGTCGAGCCCCCACTACTGCCAAAAGGTTTAATGCAGCAAACAGTACCAGCATGAACACTGTGGCCTATTTGTATTGTTGTTGATCCGACCCCTTTAGTACCCCCTTCACAGAGCCAGTCTTGCCCAGTTAGTGCGGTTCATTTGCGCTGATGTGAAAGCTGTCAATCAAACTCTGGTGCGGACCAAACTACCGCAGGGATACTGCAGACTATAGAACCAACCACAGGATTTTACTATAGCAGATATGTGATTTTAGCAATATTTCAAAAGCTAAACTACTAATAAATCCATCTGCTGATCTGTTCAGGAAGCGATCTAAATAAATTAAAATGAAATAAATGAGCTGTATGTAGCTGTATGTGTCCCTGTAGCCTATATATTTATACAAATCATTTGGTAACCAACACGTGTGTCAGCAACTATGTATTTTTAGCTGAATGATAGGTAAAAAGCTAAATATGCTGTGATCCCAAAGTAATAAGCCCCAGATCATTACTGTACAAGATGCCTCCTCTTCATCCTGTCTTTACATCATTATTCACAACATGCGGTACTAATAATGAGTTATTTCTTTGTGAGCTCTTCGTGACAACAAAAAACATAAATATACACATCAGAAGGATTAAAGTGCTGCATACGTTTGTGTTTATGTAATAAAAATGAATATCAGACAAATATATTGTAATCAGATTTTTTAACCTCTCAAATATTGATATCAATATCGGACTATAAAAATCTAGTATTAGTCGGGCTGCAGTGCATAACCCTTGACAGGATGACATAAAAGTGGTGACAGGATGGCTGAGACAAGTGAAAAATGGGAAAGTAAGCAGTGGTTCTCATTTTGCTCAGTGACCAATGCTGGAGGAGTAAATAAAATCTGTGTAACCACACCTGCGGCTGCAAAATAATAAAAAACATATATCCCTCTTTGTAAACGTACCTGCTTAAACAAGGGTTAAAAAATTCTCAAGTGCAACGCTATCATCTATGAACACCATGGGAGAATTCAAAGCAGCGACAAGAACTGTCTGACCTTCGACCAAAACTGTTCGCACACACACATACACACGCAGAGACACACACAGTGAGTGACTTTGTGGTTACATGGCCTAGCAAAATCAAAGACGAGTTATTCCACTCATGTTATGTGACCTCTAGCCCCAGTATGAATGATTGAACAGAGTCACAGAACCATAGCAGGAACCCTGACTGTCTGACAGACTGTGAAAAACTTAGTGACTTTAGGACCTTTAGTACGGGAATGTAGGAGTTAGTAGAAGGACTCCCCCCCGGCCCCAGTGTGTGTGACTGTGTTTATCACTTTTTAGTGTTTTTTTAAATCTCTCAGTATCCTGCCCTTGTCCAGTGTGAGTGAAAGTTGTCTTCTGCCGTTTTCTTGTACATACAGGCACTAACCAACAAACAGCCTGTCTGTTTTGCTGCATGCGTTTGGATTTCTACTAACTTACCTCCTCCAGTGTGTTGCTGAGCTGAAAGATCTGTCCTTCTCCTTCCACCTGCCGCACACACAGTTTGCAGCTGATCTCTGTGGTGGCTGAGCTCAGTCTCTCCAGGGTAAAGGTACAATGAAGAGTTCTCTGACTGCCACTCCAGACCTGGTAGAATGGGATCTCCTAGAAAAAGCACAAATAAAAATTGACAGCAAATTTTGACTCATTAGACAGGTAACCTGATAAGTCAAAGTATTTTTGAACTGTGGCTATGACATTGATAGAATGAATGGCTGCACCCCGTAAAAAATGGAATTTGTCGCTAATCTTTAATCCTTGTGGATACTTAAGGTGAATAATAAATAATAATAATATATAATAATAATTTACTCTGGACCAAAGCACAAAACATACAAAATGTACCTTGACACAAAGCCTTACAATAGTACATCCTTATGTGACTAAATATAAGTGGTACTATATCATTATACAGAATATTCTACACCACCTAAAATGTCTTTACATGTATGTGGGTGTGTATATCCCTCTCACCTGATACTTTGCGAGGAGTTTGCTCTTCCAGTGTGTGTGTGGCACGTCGTGTATGGACAGTCTCAGGTTGTGTGTGCTGTCTTTAAAGTTCAGAGTCTTTGGCTCATCCAGAAGCTTCCCTCCCATTTGGGTCTCCATCTGAAGAACCTCCTGCACAAAAAACAACAAAAGAAAAAACTACTTTGCTTCTATCTTGCTCACTGAACCATTTGTTTTTCATGCAGACTGTAGAAAGCCTTAGATTTATCTAGCTTAATTACTCCAGACAGTGCTGTCTTGGATGTTGCCTTGAAGTTGACGGCACCATGAAATAGCTGAAACACGAGAATGTTTTCATTAAGATCTCATCACAAACCTCTGTAGCTATATTCCTTGGATTTAAGCAAAGCTTGGCTCTGCTAACTGCACTGAACATTAAGATACTCCATACAAACCTTGATTAATAATGCACCACCACTCAAAGTACTGCTGTTGTGAGATGTGGAAATGAAGCATATCTCTAATGTCAAACGGTACAATTAAATTACTTCTATTGACTTTAGAAGATGACCTCAATCATCATATTACTTTTGAAAATACACAAATTGAATTCTGATTATTTAAGATTTTTCCCATTACCCCTTCTCTTTTTGCTAGCATGTTAAGACAACAACCACTACATTTCCTTGTGCACACTATTTATAGTTTTAAGGATACTGGAACTACTACCTCCCTCAAAACAGATTCAAAGGGTGGTGCACTGAACGTGAATTTTTGTTTTAATTTAATATCTTGGATTTCCATTTGATGTCCATTTTGTAAGGCAAAGGAGGCAGCACATTTTACTTTGCTATGCTGCAGTTAATAATAATACATTGCACACACAGTCCTGTGGGGATTTTTGCTCATCCTTTGCAAATTGACTTTTGTATATCAACTAAGCCCACACCGAGAGAGTACTAAGAAAGTATCTGTGCCCTACAAACACACCGGAATGCAAAATGGTAAACACACATATTGATAACATCAATGTATTTACAGGCTCTTGAACTGTTGCCTACAGATCCACTTAAATGAACAAATTAATACACACACACACAAACCCTCAGTTATTTCTGATGGAAGAATAAGTTATCAGTACGACTTCTGATGCCTCCTACAACCCTTTCAAAATAATCAATTCATCCTTCCCATCATCTTCCCACGCGCCAGCTCTATTGTAGATTTACAGCAGAGACTTCCCCCCTTTGAAACGCAAAGAGATCACTTATACTACACAAAGTCTCCACCATTAAAAAGTCCACCTTTGAACTTTGTTTTCGAGCTACAATTGCTTGTTTGAAATGGAAAAATGGAAAAAAAAGAGTGTGCGCTGATGTTTGTGTGAGCGTGCGCATGGCTGTGTGCCACCCTGACACTTGACTTATCATTGCATGCATAAATTACCAATGTTAATCTCCCGTATCAGATGGTCCCTCCAGTGCTTTGAATTTGTTTAAATTCCAAAGCATCGTTATTTTGACATTGTTTGACCCTGTTTTGTTTACCGCTCCACAGAAAGAACTAGAGGTGAAAAAAAAACTTTAAAACTATTTATGACTCTAGACAATCATTTCTCTTTAAGCTATAATACATTTTATTTCAAATGCTAATTACCATGGAACAGTCTAAGCATGGGAAGGTCCAAGAGAGAACAAAAGAAGAACTAAAGAACACAACAGAGCAGTAGGCCTAAAATGTCACACACCTCTTCTCTACCTGCGCTGATATTCAATACGAACTTGGCAACTGTGCATACTGTAGATACATACTATATGTCTATACTATGTATGCATGTGTGCACATACAGTCATCATCAACACTTTACCTTGAGTGCATCCTGTGTGTCATCCAGACAATAGACCCTGATATGATAGTCCAAAGTTGTGCAGGAGACGGGTCCAAAAACAGCCAGTTTGAGCCTCTTGGCGGCTGCCTTACAGACTGACTGGCCCACCAGGCAGTAAGTCCCCAGTGTCTCTGTTAGGATGTGACATGCCTCCGAGTCCATCTGCACATAGCAGGGGGTAGTGAAGTTTTCCTCTCCCACTACAACCACATCCTGTAGGAATCATACACACATACACACAAAGTCACATTTTTAGACTTTCAGTGTCACGCTGGGTCTTTGATGGGGGGCTGTGAGCTTTTACTCATTTCACCTGAAGAGAGATCTAGAGCTTTATTTAAGGCCAACTACCTTCAAAAACGGGTCTTTATTTTTAATCACTGCTGTAATATAAGTATGTTACTATTTAAGTACTCTGCCTGTCTTTTGATCTACTCCTGTTTGCAGTGATAATTTGCTGTTGTCAAAATCTGTTTCACAACTCCATTCAGGGGTTCAGGGGCATAATTCCTTGCTATTACTAGAAGGCTTTTGCAGGACATGCTGGCTTTAATCAACACTAATAAGAAAAAAATGTTTTGTGGAATCAGTCTTAAAAAAAGTTTCTGACAACAGCATTTCTGTTTAAACAACATGCTATGATCAACATGGTGATGACTATGAAATAACTATGTTCCTGTGCTGATAGAGAAACTGTGGAGATGTATTCTGAATTTACAAAGTGACCCCTGGTCTAGCTGATTTTGTTTGTTTCCCCCTTTATTTGGGAACAGCCTTTATTTGTTTGTACAGGCTGCTTTTAGTGAGACCTGGGCATTATTTGAATACCAGCTTTATCTGAGAATGTACGGGCATTAAGCCACAGTTTGTCTGTTAACATAACACAACTGATGCATTTGGAGCCATTTCCACTAATGCAAACAACCCCCGAGTAAGCAGGTTGTGGCTTCTAACTGATGCATTCCTCTGTTGCTATAAACAGGTATTTTTCAATGCGACGCCTGTACTGACAGAACTGTGCTACCTAAAGAGAAAGCATTGTTAAGCAACAGAAAGCCCAACTGTAAATGTTGAGTTTGAATCATTTTGGCTTGTACATCTTTTTAATAAGCGTGTGGGACTCTTCTTGTTAGCCTGCTAATTCATCTTAGAAAAAAAAGTTATTTTTGATTCACCACAGTGTGGATTCCTTTGTTCATGTTGAGATTGATTGAATTATAATGTAAATGCATGTCTGGTTGTACATATGATTTCTGAAAGTAAATCAAGGTGTCCATTAGGACAATAATAACACTTGTTTGGCGGTGCCGTCTGTGAAGTGTGTCCAATCCCGCTGTGATTATCTGCTGGCTGTTGCTCATATAATTTCTATAGCTCTCTGTCACAGCCTGAGTTATTGTAAATCCATATGGCTCTTTGGGCTGAATGAGGACGCACAGGCTCACTGTGTTTTCTTTAAATATACAAGTACTGAATCTTAGTCATGCATGTATCCACGCTTTGCGCATGTCATTGCGTGTATTTGCTTGTGCACGTCTGTGGATGCAAACGTGCTGTGGCACGGATCTGTTCTACACGAACACATGTGATACAAATATTGAGCTCTGAATCACAGTTCACGTGGAGTTGTGTTTCCTGCAGATGAGCAAGCCAAATCAATACGAAGAGGTAGGAAAGCAATATGGTATGAATCTGTTATTACTGGTAATCACAACCGTGGCTGCTCCCCCCTGATGTGAGGGGAATTCAATTACCTTCCTCTCCCTGTTTTGGGGAAAACTTTCTGATGGGAAATGGATGTTTTACTGCAATAAGAGAAAAACAAATCGACTTCCTGATGAAATTCCACTTTTCATTTTTGTCGTCTTTACCCACTCTGCACCCAAGCCCTTCTGTCTCTCTCTTCTCTCTCTCTCTCTCTCTCTCTCTCTCTCTCTCTCTCTCTCCCTTCACTCACTCTCACACTCACTCTCTCTCACACACACACACACACACAGAACCTTATGCATGGCTAATTGTGCAGAGACATTGTGTTGAGCTGTGATAAGCAACAGAAGACAGCATACGGGGGCCTTGTAGACACAGTGATGCTGCAAGACAGCCTTATCACCCACACCCACACACAAGGACACACACACACACACACACACACAGAAACAGACATACACACGTACGTATGCAGTCATATACACACACACACACACACACACACACACACACACACACACATACACACACAAAACAGATTGCTGAGGTAGAGGCTTCACGCTGAGAAACACGGGAGGAGGGAGAGAGAAGGGCAGAAAAAAAGGAGGGACAGAAACATAAGAAGAAAGATGAGAGAAGAGGAAGACGGCAGGAGCATAACAAATTGCTTTTGATAGGAGTCTTCAACCCCCTGCTTGTCTACTAGCCTGTAGGCACTTTATGTTTACCAAATTTTCTCTTATTTTCTTTCATTTCCTCTCCCTCCCTCACTCACTGCATGTGTAAAATGCATAATATAGGCTATTCTTCTGGGGCTAAGACGATAATGTATGTGCGCACGCATGTTCTTAAAACGCACAGGCTTCTGCACTGGTACATTTTCATTTACAAGGCTATTCCTGGTATATGCCTTGTTATATCTTTTCAAAGTTTTCTCCCATACAAAGTATATATAATTTAAGATCTGTTGCTGGACTGTCTTACTCTCAGCCCATCGTCCTGGAATGAACTGCTAAGCTTAAGGTTGGCATACCAATCTCTTCAAAAAAAGAATATCAGACATTCTAACCGGCATAGGCACTTGTTTTTAAATTCCTGACCAATTGTAGTTAGATAGTCTCTTCATTTACTCTCATTTATTTCATTTTATTTGTGATATACAGGACTCCCTTGTAAAAGAGCCTGTGTCTCAATAGGACTTTCCTGTTAAAATAAAGGTTACATTATATGCCAACTTCTTCATGTTTGGATTATTTAGCTATAGTATGAGTACATTTTTGTGCATCTAGATGTATCTTTAAATGCAATGCAAGCAATTTACACAGTACACACAAACACCGAAGATGCAGTGTTGAACATTCACCTCCCACTCTCCCATGGCCAGTTGGTTCTTCAGCTGTATGAGCCAGTCTTCCTGGACGTTGTCAGCGCAGTGGTGGATGGTGAGGATCACTGGTCTGGTCAGCAGGGCTCCTGGAGGTCCACAACTCACCACTGGGCTCAGCACTGTCTGGATGTCCTCTACCGGGGGTCTGGAAAAGACAGATAACACTGAGATGAAATGATTCTTTAGAAAGGAACGACAGGATGGCTGCAGTGTGAGCCACCAGTTACTGTGAGCAACAACTTCAGCAAGCGGTATTGATTTCAGTTCTGGTGTGTGTTATTTGTTTTAATGTTCATGTATGGAAAAATGCAGCTGGCATAATAGAGAAGCCAGGTGGACAGTTATGATAGAGGTAAGATAGACTGGCTTAGAGTAGATGAGAAAAGCAGAGAAAAAAACAGATCAGAGCAGCACAAATTCAATCAGAGGATGATTAGTGGAGTCAGCAGGGCTTCAGTTGGGCCTCAGCTGAAATCAGTTGCTCACGGGCAGAAAATAAATGACTAGGCTAGGCTTTCCTGCTTTTTACAATAAAGTCAAGTATTGGAACGAACCTGAAGCACTTGATAATTAAGCAACAGAATACTACATGCTCTTCTAATGTAAATAAATGTGAGATTATACAAAATGAACCCCATCAGAATTGATTAGTCTTCTTTCATTAGGAAATTGAAACGTAAAAATTACATCCTTAATAGTTAAATATGAAAATACATATGTAAATGTCTGTGCTCTCCTGTGTAATCTATTATCCAGTCATCAATTTCCCTCATGTTGCTGAAGTCATTTATTAACTCGGAAAAGCCCATATGGATAGAGGAGATGGATCTCAATTTTAACAGTGGTTTTGTTTTTTGTTGTTCAGCCCACCTCGTGTCAGGGGGCCACTAATCCTTAGCAGTATTATCGATTCAGCTGCTGGAGCTCATTATTGACTCATAAAAGGGTTCACGTGGGTAGGAGAAGCTAACAGATAAAAACAGTATGACTCAAACTGTAACAGCACCCCTTGACTTTCCTAATGCAGGGGTCGCTCCTTATTGAACTGCAGTGTTATTGATTTATAATGTCTTTTATCATACAAATAGAGAAAATAGTTGTTTTATGTTGTGTATTTGGGAAAACGGACACTCAAGGGTTAGGTCTTAATGAGCTAAACCACATGATTATGGCTCGCGTTGCTGAGAGTCAACGCAGCTATGTGATTTTTGCTAGCCAGCTATTGACTGAGATGAAGACAGAGCACAGAGAAGAGGTTTGAGTCTTGAAAAAACCAAAGCACACGGCAGGGGACCTTATTATTATTGACTGCTATTCATTAGGGAGAAGCTAGAATGGATGCATGGGACAGAATACATGAATCAATCTGTAACAACAACTGTCACACACATGACTTAAGTCTTGTGATATCAGCCAAGCAGATAATTTTATTGTCACCTGTTTTTGAGAAAAATTTTCCTGCCACCCCCATTACAATGAACGCGGAAAGGATTTAGTTTGTAGTCCTGCACACAGCATTAAAAATATTTAGAAGAGACTAGATAAACAAATTGATGCAACTTTTATTGGAACCACTCTCTTCCAAAGAAATAGCCTCTGTGAAACCTGTTGATAGCATGTTATGCAAATTTTCCAGTGTAAACAGGACACTGCTTCTTAATAGAGACATTTAAATTACAAACCTATTCACCTTCACTGTATTGGCGTGAAGGCAGAAATCTCAGACACAGATATCTGAAAACCAGATAAAAACAAAACTGTCCGCATGACTAAATACCACTATAGGTACGTGACAAAATGTCTGGCTCTAGGGAAGAATTTTAAATTCACCACTAGCTGTCGGGATAAATGGCTTAGTCATGTTTGTGGGAAAAATGTGTCCAACATAACTTTAAAAGGACATTATTCTGCAGCAAGGCAGAGCAAATCATCAGGACACATACAGACTCTGTTGAATAAAAATATCTCCTTCTCTCTTAAATGTCAGCGTAAAAAAACCCCAATATATTGTGAAACCGCTTTCCAATTGCACGCACATGTAGATACCTGTGTGAATGCAGGCTTTTGAGTTTTGCCTTACTGTAGGTATTTTGCTATGCCAAGTCACTTTCAAACATAGTGCTGATAATGTCCCAAAAATTTGCATCAAGGAAATTTGTACACAACAGCTGGAATATGGAATGTTTTCCCCATTGTCTCTCATGTCCCACAGACAGCTTTACCTCACCCATGCACAGGGTTTGGGAGTAAAGGATTATAGCACATGTAACAGGATTACAGTGATTCCAAAAATAACCACTAATCTGTTAGTTACTGTGGAAACAGTGGTCTCTTTGCATATGCTGTCAAAAGCTTGATGTTTGTTTTTTTCGATCTAGAACATGGCATGAAGTAAAAATAAAATAAAATAAATAAAAGTCTGTTGGTCGCAATTAAATCAACATTAGTTTCACACATCTTAGAATAATGGGTGTTAGGAGCTCTACATTTGGATAACAGCCCTGATTTGACAATCTGTAAAACACTGATTAAATATGTAAATTGTTACTGTAATAATGTGGATTACTGTAAAGATTATAATATTAAGTAGGTAATAGTGTGTAAAATATTCCCTTATAATCTCCTCAACTCTGTTACTTAGCAATTTTAATTCTGCCACTAATATAGGAAATCTGTGGTATTAACTGACCTCCGCTGAATGAATCAGCAAAAGAAGGTGTGCATAGAGACACTACACACTATAAATAATAATGATTCATTCCTTGCTTTTCTTCCTAAGACCATGTCACATTGTGAACGACTCCCCACGCAACCAAACAAACAGGTCTGAGGAGCCGCTGCCCAGGAGAAAGACGGAGAAGTACAGACAAGAAAAACAAACTAAGAAATGAAAAGAACATAAAGGGAGCTGCAGAGATGAAGAGAACATGGGGACAACAGGACACAAAGCCACAGAGGGAAAACTGAGGGAAAGAGAGAGACTAAACTTACCTCAAGCTGTCCTTCCTGTGCACAGTCACATACATCTCATACACCCTACCCTGAGGAACCGCACCCGCTGGAACCAACAAACTCACGCCTGCAGGAAGGAGGACAGGGGAAGCATTATGGACGGAGGCAGAAATAATGAGATTCATTACCGGATTTATTAATTTTACCATGCACAACTGAATTATTGAATGTGCAACCCATTATCACTTTATCATTATGATTAATTATTGAATTATAATTTTTTAAAGGCAACCCATGTAAAACTTTCTCTTCAATATATAATCAAGTGAATGGTGCTGGAGTGTTTTATAGCTTCTGGGAGCTGCTTCCTATCAGCAGGTTACATTATTCATTGTTTTTGCCTGCCCACTGCTTTTAAATCCAAACACATGTCTACTGAAAGTTTTTATCTTTTACAACTAGGCAACCGGAGAACAACCCAAGGCTGTTTATGTCGACTGTGCAGCAGTGGCTCGATGCATTTGATTATGTTGATTTCTATAATACTTTTTTATCAGTATCAACTTTGATGACATTCTTACCATTTATAGCAGTTAATGTAAAGTTCTTGGATTTTTTTGTAAATCACACGAGAGGCCCTTTATGTTCAAGGTATGTAGGTGTAATCAGACAGGAACCCAGAAAGCAATCGTATACCACCTCTAAAATTCACTTTGTGTCCTGTCAGATTATATGGTATAAAATATCAAAACAATCACTGCTGGTCACTGCTTTATCATGAGACATTAAACAGATGTATGATTAACTGTTAAGCGTGTGTAGAAAGTTTACCAGAGTTGGGTACAATGAGGTGTCCTCCCTGGTTGTTGAAGGATCCGTGAGCGGTACAGGAAGGGTCTCGTGTTCGGGCCAAGCTCTGGTTGCGAAGATTTATGGTATCGCTGTTATCCAACAGGGACTGAGTTACCTAGGATTCAAAAGACAAAAGTCAGAATGATAATAATAAGAAATAAAGAATCACAGGGCATAACACAACTCATGCTGTTTCAGACAGAACTGGGTATGATGCTGTTCAACTGCACGTCTGGAGGCATTAAATGGTAAATAAAACCTACTGATGAATCAATGTCTGGTTTGGCTGAGCAATACGGTTATCGACGCATTCCCATTGGAAGTCACACCTTTTATTTTACGTTAATGCTATTGCACCTTTATGACATAAGCAGAATTTGAATGAATGCATGACAATCATAGCAGGAATGTGAAAAATCCTAGGGACTGTTATAAAAAATGAACTGTAATGGTGCAATATGGAGGATTGACAACTCTAGTTTTCTCATCAGAGTTGAGAGAACTGATCATAGTTATTGCTTTGGAGGCAGAAAGATGTGAACTTAATGCCTATGCAGAAGGACGAACTTCCTGCGAAAGAGCTGATGTCAAGTACTGTCAAATGATTTATTCCAATGAAACCAAAAGTTCATGGAGGTCCAGAGAAGTTTGACTGTGCAAGTCCAGTCTCTGGTTGTATAGGTCATTGCAGTTGTATTTTTGCCTGGCTGATTAGGGCAAGTGTTGACAGATGAATCTGTTCCACTAAAATTTGATCAAGATGGTTTAATTTAGTTTTTTATGTTCTTTATGTTTTTTATGTTTTTGATGGTTTAATTTTGTTTTTTATGTTAATAAAATGCTACAGGGGAGAGATGCATCTGCCTGGGAGAGCTGCGATAGGGCTGAGCCGGCAGTCTGTGAGAAGAGGGCGGATTTACAGTAGACCCGTAAAACCACCTTAGGGTGAAAGTGGTAAAATATGACCTGCTTTGCATTTCCATGTCGAAATGTCCACTGTTAGATGCAAAATACAAACTTAACATTCAGCAGTTTACTCCTGCCTCACACAAAGCTGACAAGAACTTGCCACAGAGTGTTAAGGACAGACACCGAAGTAAGAACAAAATTTAGCGAAGTGAGGTCAGTCATTTGACAGAGCGGAGGTCAAAAGGCCACAACTAAAAAAAACACCCACAACAACAGATAAAATCATCAAAACGATGTCACTGATCTGTAGACCTCAAAGACAGCAAGTTCAGCTCTCGTACTGCCTCAGGACAGGTGCCGTGATGAAACTGAGAGGCTTCATCTGTATTTGTGACAACCGACTGGTATGCGTGCCATGTAGCTGACGCAGAGGGGGGAACTGGGGCACGGAGCTGCATGTATACTAATGGTGTTTGGACTTGTATTTATGCTGCCGTGTTCCAGTACTTCTCCCTATGCTTCTGCAGTGCAACCTCACTTCAGGAGGAAATATTTCAAAAATCCTATCCTATATTTTACATCATCATAGACATGGATGAAAAGATACTGGCATTAGATTGAGTGATACATCCATCACATTACCTTAGGAGACAGTTTGGATGTGAAGTCTCCTCCAAGGTCATCCTGTGGTGTGACAAGGCCAGACGAGTTGTAGACTTTGATCTTCAAGTTGGGTAGAGGGTCCAGGAGAGGAGAGTTGGTCATTGGGATTTTATCTGAAACGTCGTGTAGGGCATAAACCGGACCACGATACATGGCAGCCGCATTTGTCAAGTCAGGAGGCGCTGTCAGTAGATCAGCTACAGGGAGAAAGTGAAAGGGGGGGGGGGAATGAATGAGTGAAGATGACAAGAGACAAAAATGCTAGATTGTTCAGCTATCAGTGAAAGTCAGTGAAAATGGTGTCTGAGACGGAGAGGGAAAATGAACGGTCAAGCTGGACACTTGGTATGGGACGAATGTGGGGAACTTGTAGCTCAGTGAGCAGGAATAAGCGGAGTAAGACGAGAGCAGGCAAGGCTGCTGATAAGGTATCAGTGTCTCGTATGATACATTGCAGTACACAGGGGCATGACCCGGATCAAGGACTAGTCATGGCTGCTACTCAGGGAGAGGGAAAGGGAGGGAGGGAGAGAGAGAGAGAGAGAGAGTGTGTGTGTGTGTGTGTGTGTGTGTGTGTGTAGATTTTGAAGGTAATGAATTATTTGTTGATATTTAAATCTGTACATTATTAAAACATACTCACTGATTTCAAATTAGTAAACAATAATATCTTGTAGTGGGACAACGGTGTGGATTTGTGCATTTTATATTAAATAAATTTGGAGCTACTCCAAGTTCCTCTTTTCCTCTCCCAGAGAGGAGCAGGGGGTTAAAGATCAACTTTAACAGACTGCTGGAAAACTGGCACCTTTTTGATCTACGAAGCTGATAACGCGGTGCCTGACTGTTAAACTGACAAAGGGACATTAACCAGCGATTAGCATTTCCCTGAACAGCCTATCAGAATCTCCTTGGATGGGGCAGGAAATACTAAACTAAGCTTTCCTCATGTAACCTGAGCGCCCCCAAGTGGACGAAATAAGTATTACATACCATCGTCGGAAATGCCGTTAATGTATAAATGTCACCGACTTATCCTGACCAATAATGTGACAATTGTTTTCCTGTTACCAAATGCTTAACTTAGAACAGTACAACTGTTTGACCATTGAGGTTTGATTGTGGAAGATATTTGATTATAATACGCGCAAATAGATTTCTTTTCTTTTAGACATTAAAGCTTAGAAAGGCAGTCCCTCGGGAAACCTGAAACGCCCTCTGGGGAACCACGCCCCAGACAACAAAAGCGCGACACATGACGTCGCTCTCTCTCTGCTCTGCTCTTCCCCTCGTGCCCTGGTCTTCCGCTCTGCTCTCTGGACGCTTCGGCACGCGTCCGGCGTGCCTCTCCAGGCAACGCCCTAAGAGTTCGACCAGCGCAACGGGCCTTTGTTCGCTTGAAGCTACACGCGCGAAGTTCCGCGACATTGATTTGTCCCTCGTTTAACAGCAACTTTCTTTTGTTTTATTTTCTTTCTTTCTTTTGTTTTGTTAAAGTTATCAGTCCGTTAAGTTACACTGGACTAATTCAGGAACGACCAAGTTCCCTTTTAAGCTTATTCGTCGAGCCAACTTCACCGAGGTCAGACCAAGCCACGTGTCACGTCTCGCCAGCTACAACGAAGGAAACCTGAAAACAGCCGAATTGCCAGACGGAGGACGGCGTTTTCTTCAGACACGGAGAACCCCGGAGAATCCCTAGCAAAAAGCCAGGATCGGGCAGCTAGCGTGGGACCCGTGCAACAGGCCAAAGCAGGCCGTCGACAAGCAGTAAGACCTAACAAACATTCTGTGATCACAGATGTCCCGTAATGTTAATATTTCCTTTTAACTCCTAAACTCATAGCTTACTTTCATTAGTTCTCCTCTGCCGTATGAGTCAAATGCTTCCCACAATCGAACCTCCATTTCTCATTGTTCAGCCATTGTTTATTGCCCTGATGTATTTAACCACCCTTTTATATCGCTTTAGTTAGTCAGTAAATTCACTGTAATCAAGAACTGTGTGTGTTGACTATTTCCACGTCCCTGCCAAGAGAATTGACCCTTTAGATATGAGACTGACTGATTGATTTAAGATAATTTAGCAATTATAAACTAACTGATCACTAGTAATAATTGTATAATTATTAAAAGCTACATAGAGGTCCGGAGACTCTAGGATTATAACAACTCCGGTGGTGCCCTTTTAATGAGAGCTTTTATGGATTTTTGATATTTTCTGAATATTAAAATTCATAACTGGGTATTAATTCTCATAAATTTATTAAAATTCATAGCTAATTTAGCCATGCTACAATCCTATTGTTATTATTGTTATTATAATCATTACGATTGTTATCATTAACACTACTATAAATATCTGTACCATTTTTCATTCAGTCTATAGCAACATCACCTTTACTTTCTGTACCTCTGTGTGTATATTGTGTAGGCTGCCTCCCTCCCCTCTCTCCCTCCTTCCATCCATCTTCCTCTTTCTCTGTTCCTCTCTTGCCCTCTCTCTCTCTCTCTCTTTCCTTCACCCCCAACCGGTCGAGGCAGATGGCCGCCCACCCTGAGTCATGGTTCTGCTCGAGGTTTCTGCCTCTTAAAAGGAAGTTTTTCCTTGCCTCTGTCGCCTAGTGCTTGCTCTTGGTGGGAACTGTTGGGTTTCTGTAAATATCATCACAGAGTACGGTCTAGACCTGCTCTTTTATGAAAAGCGCTGTGAGATAACTGTTGTTGTGATTTGGCGCTATATAGATAAAACTGAATTGAATTGAAAACCTGACCTTACTGTATAACAACAACACATTAAAGTTTTGTCACTGTTTTAAAGTGGCTTTTTCCTGAGGTTACATGTCCAAAACATATGTATAAGAGATCCAGTTTCAACTTTGCACCTAGGACAGTGTTCTGGGTTGACACTCCTTATCTTATGAAGGCGTTCTGGTGTATAATAAACTACTTGATCTCGCTTCAGTTAAGTGGGATTGGTCAATGTTTCCATGCTGGAAGGTGTTCTAGCTTTTGGGTCCAAGTCCAAGTAGCTTTGGATTGAGCGGCCATATAGTTCAACTGAAAATCTGGTTAAGTTAAGCCCTCCCTGTTTAGTGGGATGACAAAGAGTTTTAAGCTTTACCATTCCACAGAAATCTAGAAACTTTGTGGAAGATTTGTGGAACTGGTGTGAAATTTGGGTAGGACAGTCATTTTGATGCTGGTTACTAGTCCAATTAGGGATAGAGGTAGGGACTTCAGCCTTTCCAAATCCGCTTCTACTTTTTTGAGCAGGGGGCCATAGTTCAGAGGGAAAACTATATCTAATTGGTTGGGTATCTGCACACCCACATAACAAATCTTATTGGGTTCCCATCAAAATCAGATGTCAGCTCTTGGTAATTGTTGGGCGGCATTATTAAGTGGATAATATCACACTTTTATTTATGTTTATTTTGTAGCCAGAGACGGATCTGTATTGTTCTTATAAATCACTGAGGGCTGGGAGTGGTGAAGCTGCGGCTCAATTGCCAAAGAGATGAGGAGAGGGACAAGAGACAGCCTTGGTGAGTAGCTCGTGACAAGGGGAAAAGAGATAATACACAGGCATTTGTCTGAATCATTGCTGATGGGTTGAGATAAAGAATCCGGATCATTTGTATTAAGTTTGGACCAAAGTTCATTTTTCTCAAGAAGGAGAAAGGAAAGGCCACTGCAGACGGTCAAATGCCTTTTCAGCGTTTAGTGAAAGGGGCAATTACAGGGGTGTTAATGTCTTTTGCACAGTGAATTATATATTGAAATCTACGTATGTAATTGGAGGAAAAGGGATTTTTAATTAAGCCAGCCTGGTCCTTATTTATAAGACAAGGAAACACATTTTCGAATCTGGTCTCAATAACCTTGGGTATCTTGTATTTTAATGATAGAAGGGAAATGGGTCTATAGGAACAGCACAATTTTGCTTCCTTGCCTGGCTTCGGCAAGACTATGACCAGGGCCTGTTCTAATGTTTGGGCAGCTGGTTAATCTCAATTGCATGCCTAAGCATGTCCATCAGTGGTGTAATAAGATCAGCTGCAAAGGTTTTGTAAAAGTCTACTGGGAAACCATCAGGCCCTGGAGATTTTCCACCCGGGAGATTCTCTATTGCATTTAGAACTTCCTGATGGGTAAGCTTTGCCTCCAGACTGTCCTGCAATCCCCCATCCAACCCCGGCACTACGATTCCCCCCAGAAAGTTATCAATCTTCCAACTATCTACACAGGAGTATAACTCTACATAGAAGTCACTAAAGGCCTCAATGATTAGTTTAAGTTTGTGGATTTTAGTGTCACTTTCCCTATTTACCATGGCAATGGCAATGTCAAATGTCAAATGTCAGTTACTTGAAACTCATCCCATCATACTGTATGTATTGTGACACAGTCTTTTAACCCTCATCATCCATATATTACGGTGTATATCATGATGAAAATGTATGTAGTTTATTTAGAACAGAACAAGCCTCACAATATAATAATATAATAATGTGTAATTGTCCAACAAACCTTAAAATCAGTCAACAAACCAATCCCTAATTTTTGATTATATTATTAAAAGCAAGACTTTGCACAGCATCTGTCTAAAGTTCGCTAATGTTCACCACCACATGCTACTGGTCATACCAGATCAAATGAGGCTGTAACAGCAAAACATTTGTAAGCTTTAAACAAAGTTATGCACTGGCCCACATTATCAAATAAATAATGCTGATGCTATGAATGGAATCACCAATGGAAACAAAATAAAAACCCTCCTCAACACTGGGTCAGATGTGATTTGAGGCTACTAAGTGGATTCTACCAGTTACATTGTGTGGGGGGGGTCTGATGTTTTACACTGTTCTTTCTCAAGTTCTCAAAGCGTGGTGGAACCTTGACACTGTTTTTCAAGTAAACACTCCAGTGCCCCACTTACATACACACACATCCAAGGCCTGTCAAAAATAAAAATGCATCTGCAATGCACGACCCATTTCTATGTTCACATGCAAACATGTGTCTTGCCTACTAATAATATGTAGACTTTACATGCTCATACACGCACACACGCAACATACAGCATACGGGAAGAGGAGGAATGATCTCAATGGTGATGGATAGGTAAGTCTCTCTGAAATTACCTTCTGTGCTCATCATGGAAAGGTTAGTGTAAGCCAGGGGGCTACTACAGGAACATGGTGATTTCCAAAATGCTGTAAGTTAGGCATGCTACTCCGTGTGCATATAATATTATAAGTATTTTTCACAGTATGTTCATTTTAGTTAGACAATGCAACTACCTCCTTCTACCTTTAGCAATCACTCCATTCTTTCAACACTCCTAACCTTGAGTAATTGCAGTAGTGGGTTTAATGACGTCTTCTGTAGAACAAATATCTATCTTATACAAGAAGTTCTCAATAACACACATTTTTGTAATCTAGAAGCTGTGAAATTATTACTAATAACCTCAGTTTTAAGTAATTGGAAAGATACGGAATCTAAGTGCTACTGTAATAATAATGCATCTGAAAATATCAACAACGGAAAAGCTCACTCACTCATTTAGCATGCTTTGTTGAACTATCTTGCCACAACTCTTTTTCAGTTTAACGCAACTCTAAGGGCAGAAAAACACAAGTGTACTTCTATATAAACAGAAAATCATTCCATCAGAAAATCCAACAAGCATCCAAGATGTAATTGGAATTGGGATCACAGGAGGGCCAGTTACCGACTGAGAACAATTCCAGATTTGTTCACACCAGGCTCGATTTTTTTGGGCGTAGAGCCTGAAATCCTGTCGTTCCCTCCACGAGCCCATTAATTCTAATTTTAAAAACCTTCATCATCACCCCCCACCACTACTAACATACTCAAGTGCACACACACGCACGCACGCACGCACATACACACACACACACACACACACACACACACACACATACACACGCACACACACACACACACATACACACGCACACACACACACACCTGTCACCTATCACTCTCTTCTTCTCTCTATCACCAGGCTGTTTACCCTTAAAGCCAGCGGGTATTCATCCCAAATCATCCCTGCTGAAATTTAATTAACAACTAACGGAATCCACAGAGCAAAAGTGAGAGAGAGTAAAAGAGAGAGAATGAGGCCGGGGGGGAAGGGGAGAGAGAGAGAGAGTCAGAGAGAGAGAAATGCAGGGACATAATTCTTCATTAATAGTAATCGGAGATGGTCCCTCAACGCAGAGTGACAAGCATTCTAATGCTTCACTGATAAAATGTCACCCAGTCTTAGCTCATGCAAAGGCATTTACCCTTGTACACACACACGGACACACAAATGCACGCATGCGTGCACACACACAATTATTTTTGCTTGCTGTTTGCAATTTGCATTGCATCCTTTCTGACCTCACTTTCCTCTTGTTTTTTTTACTATATACTGTGATTTGAATTTTAAATTTGTCCACTCACAACTGACCACATAACCACGTGCAGTCAACAATTTAAGTATCCTGTATTTCAAGGTAGCAGAGTATAATGTATTTAGTGTATTATAGTTTGTAGATGACACTGATTTACACAAAATCTGTGTTGGACTCATTGACCAAATGGAGACTATTGAATACTATTAGGTGTGATGAGTGTCAGTATGAGCACTGGTTGTGTCATCCATTGTTTTAAGCCACCTAATGTGCGTGCATGTCTGTTTGCGTATGTGCTTACTACGTGGATGCATTTTTGCAAAGTTTTTGGAATTTCTTAGAGATTTTAAGCCATGTGTTGTCATCTATTTGGCAAATAAAGATTCTTAAAGAAAAATAAATACAAGTTCATGGCATCTGTGGACTTATAGTGGATTCATCCACATTCCCTGTCCAATCTTGGCATTTCCAGTAAGCTATCAAATGCATGCACACAGGTGCACAAATGTGTGTAGCTGTGTGCTTCTTGTTGTCGCACAGACAGAGGGGAATAAATGACAACACAGACAGAAGATAGTGAAAGGTGGCTCCACTTCCACAGGAAGACAAGCACAGGGAGGAAGAGTCCGGTGCGGTAGGAGTCACTGTGACGGGAGAGACAGAGACACTGTGAGAGAAAGACACACACACACACACACACACACACACACACACACACACACGGAGATGGAGAGAGGAGGATGCTGATAAACAGGAAATGTGATTGACCTGAATGTGCAGATGGGAAGAGAGAGAAAGAAAGAGTGAGACAGAGAAGGAGAATGACAGAGAGAGACTCCTTGATGGAAGAGAGTGGTCTCTGGTAGAGACAGAGATGAATCCAGACCAGCAAAGATTGACAGCCGGAGGCCGAGGAGAGAAACAAAATGATACTAGCATCAAAGCCCAAGAGTAGGTACAGTTATTTCCAAAGTGGCATGGTCCCTTCTGTTATCCATCTACCTACTTATCATTGTGCACATTGTGTAATGCCCAAATTGAAGAAAACATAAAATTTGCAGTCCTCTCTTTGAGAGTGCACACGAAAGATACTTGCTGTCAAGTTCCCTGACCCTCCTCCATATCCCTCATAGAGCATCTAGGTGGCAATAAAGGCTGAAGCGAAAGACAAACTCTCTATCGCACTGCCATATTCCATGGTAACACATAATTTAAAAAGAGAAGGAGTGACAAGTCTTTATATATAGTGGACTTAATAATTGGATTCCTTTTTTTAATGCTTGTATTGTTTTGAGTATGTTCTGAAATCTGCATTCCTAAGTATTGTGTTCAGGTATGTTTAAGAAGATGCCACTGAACCAAGGAAACAAGTAAATAGCATATTTTGCTTATTTCATTCAACAGTCACAGAGTTTGCAACATTTTGCCTTTAACTATTTACCTTTCAACACAAGCAATTTTACATTTATGATTTAACAAAGCTACTTAACACCCACTAAAAAAACTCCAGTAGTTTAACTGCACAACTGGCAGTAATGATATACACATGTACTCCAGGAGACTGATATCACTGTTAGGTGTGATTACAGGTGCAACAGGTTTGAAACTATCAACCAGACAGGTCAGTGAAACACTGCTTTTCAGCCTGCTAGTCTTTAAATCAAGTATGAGGGCAGCTACTTGAGTAGGATATTGTAGCATTGTTTCCACCCTGTATCAAATGTAATTTTCTCCTGTCCTTACCTGATCTGGCTGTTTTGATATTAACAGACTGGAAGCCTCCATTTAACGCTGAGGTGTCAATGATGTCCGAATCAAAATCACGGTGTGTCTTGCGGTAGACAAAGAGCGCCACGATGACAGAGATGACCAGGCACATAATCACTGCGATGACGATGCCCACGTACAGCGCAACATCATCTGTACTCGGAGCAGCTAGAGGGGACACAAAGAGGAAGAGAGACACAATTATAGACAGGCAGATACTGTAAAGCATGAAGCAAGAGCAAAGTACTCTCAAAAGATCTGCTTAAGAGGAAATGTATATCAGAAAGAAAAGCAGCAACAAACAGCTGCAACAATGATAAATCTTATGGAACAGCAGGGCAGTGGCAGACAATAAAGCAACATTTCATTATGTAAGATGATATGACATGTGTAGCAGGCTTCAAATTAAATTGATAATGGCGCTCTGTCATTCTTCATTTGTGTTCAACAATTTCACTTTTACCTTAGACCACCTATCAGACCCAAAGGACAATCTCTATAGGCTCCTTTTCAAATGAAACTTTCAAATAGCCCTCCAGCTTGTGTAATATGATAATTTGCCTCGACAGAGGTAGAGAGAGAGAGACATGAGACACCTTTCATAAAAAAAAAAAAATAACGGCACCAACTCTTAAAACTTAATAAGGCTGTTAATTATTTTACAAGGGTCCTAACATCCTACCTCAATCTGGCTGAGATTTTAATGGTGTTTCACTGAGAACAATGGTGGAATTGTCATTCATGATCCATATCTTAAAGCAGACGAAAGGACTAGGGAAATTTTAACTGATGGGGGATGTGGATGGTAAAAGGTATGCTCCACACTTAAGGATGAAACAGAGAAGAAAATTAGGATAGGATGAGTGGAGAGAATTCAAGAGCAGAGGGAGGAATGATGAGTAAGTAACAGGAGGGAAAGCCAATAAGTGGGGAGGAATATAGAAAAGAGGACATGCAAGCAAATGAGGAGTGAATAGGAAAGCATAGAGAGGAAAGGAGGAGATAGATTGGCGGATAAGATGAGAGGAGAGCAGAGGGGGAAGAGGGGTGAAATAAAGAGAATAAAACAAGCATATAAAGAGAATAATGAAGCAGGGAAGATGAGAGGAACAAGTAGGGCGCAATATATCAGGAAAGGAGAGGAGAGAGGTGATAACAGCAAAGAAGAGGAGAACAGGGTAAAAGGGGAGGATATGCACTTGTACTTCAATGTAGCAAAACAAACAAGCCTACATATTTAACATGAAAGCGTCTATGAAACTTTGTTGAGGAGTCTCACACTTGAAGCACTCCCCATATAATCATGTCCTCTGTAGCTAGTAGGAGGGGATTTGTCTGCAGCTATTACGAAGAAGACAGAAAAGTATAGGAATGCTCCTTTTAATCCGCCCTAAAAGTTGAGAGGCAGATAACAGGCTTTTAGCTACAAACAGCCTGAGTCATTTGCTAAAGGATTTGCTGTTGTCGCATCAGAACAAGTTCAGAAAGCATGAACTTGATTAGGCATGAAAGAATTCTTTGATGAGGCACACAAACGCTCACAAATGCCTAAGCATGATACACACATCCACGCATTCACATAAGAGGGGTCACTCCCAATGGTGTTAGTTACTCATTTACCACTTGAGGGAGCTATGAACCACTTCTAGTGTCTCTAGTGAGCTGAGCATCTGAGGGCAAAGCATGTCCTTCATAATTAAGTCTGCCTGCAATGAACCAAATGTCCCTTAACAGTTTGTCCAAGAAACAGAAAAATGATGCTTATCGCCAATCCCTTCCGACATGGGATTATAACTATATAACTATAACTATTACAACTATAACTACTTTAACCAATGTCTTAAACATGTGCACATTAAACACACAAGAGTGTAATATGTTTATTCATCACAAATTTGCAATATATAAGAATTCATTTAACACTGACAAAATGACTAATCGATTAATAGAGAGAATTTCTAACAGCAGTAGTCAATTCCTAAACTAAACTGCTGCAATGTCTTAACCTCCACAAGTGTTGTATTTCCTGCCAATTGTTGATCTCTAGTTGAAAATGCCATGCCCAGTGTGTCACATACAGCGGATTGTGGCGGAGTAAATTCAAAACATTGATATAATTCATATTTACAACCCCTGATCTGTGTTTAAGATTTTGCGCTCTTTTTACAAAAAATGTATGACACTGTGGGGGTTTGTTATGGCACCTCAAATCGCCTCCAAATATCTGTTCATCATATTTAGCTCAAACTTGGAGACCACCTTGAAATCTCCAAAGTTTAACCCCTATGAGTTTTGTCATATGTAGTTAACAATTTCCTCTTGATGATGTTAAAGAGATTGCCGTGAAATCCCTAATGCCCCAACGCAACTGCTGCACAAAGTTGCCCTGTTATCAAGGTCCTTGCACTTGCCAAGGGGGAATAGAATTGGATAATCCTCTTAAGTACCCACACCCTGATCTTAATTATGATCATCACCCTCATCTATTTAGGGAATCTTTATCTCATTTCTACTTTAACTTGAAGGTCTATAACTTCAGAAAAGTGGGATGCCAGGCAGCCATAAAAAATATCAATTCTAAACTTGCCTTTCCCAATCCTGTTTTTTCCTATGGAGTGTTCTGGGACACCCTGGGATAAGTTAACTAGGCTATGGCTTGCTTGTGTTCTCAATATATGTGCGTGTGCTACTGAGTGTATCAGTTTATATCCCATCTCTCTCAGATCTTTCTCTCTCTACATAACTCACACCTCTCTTTCAGACTCCCTTTGTCTCTGTGTCTCCATCTGTTTGATTTGTAGATGAATGAAACAACATGTCCCATTAGAGCTTCTACCTGCCTGAGTAACCTACATAAAACTGCAGGATACCAAATGTTTTCTTTTTCCTTTCTGTAATTTTTCCTTTTTTTTCTTTTAGCTTGTTCTTCCTCTGTCCCAAATTACCGAACCAATCATTTACTGTAAAATCGGTGGTCATGAGAATAAAATGAATGAATATAATCATCAGTTTCAAGGAAATGGATGGAATTTATTCATAATTAGAAACAAAAATAAAAGAGAAAGGAAAATGACACTTATTTACAGTAGCTTTTCTGTAAATTTTTAAAGTCCTCTGTTTTGCTGCTTTGGTTAAAAACTGCCTATTCTTAAATTCTGATGTTCTTTTATTATATGACAGCCTTGCATAATAGGCTGTCTTTTTCTGAAAAGATGGGGTTTGAAAAGAGGATGGATCGTCGGTGTGCACTTTTGACCAAACCCAGATGAATGAGTAATGTGTTTGGACCTCTGTGTGTATCTAAGCGTGGCCCGAGGCTGTGCTCTGTGAAGCCAGAATGACAAAATCGGCAGTGATAGAATGAGGAAGGAGTCTGACTAAGTACTGATAGGGACACACCTAAGTTCATTTTTATTTGTATGAGTACTCAGGCGAGCACTGACACTCACAATGAATGCATGGGCAGACAGACACGCACACATGCACGCATCTATATTAACCTTTTATCCATAAGTCAACTATTTCATGTGCTTTTGCTCCTTTGTACCTGACGAGCAGTTTCATGTCCGAAGCACTCACTTGCAAGCCCGGCTAAATTGGATTTAGATTAAAAATATGTGCCTTTCAGCGGACACGCCAGAAAGGAACTGAATAAATGACACGTCTGTGATGTTCCTGCGAGTACTATCTGACAGCTCTCTATAAGAGGAAGAATGTTCTTTTCTAAAGGTCAGGACACACACACACTAACATATATATGATGGCGTATTTGGGTCATTGTAGATTTTTTTTTAGATTACGGAACCTGGGGATGGAGGGGATTAGAGATTAGAAGTCATAAATTCACGAGAAAAAAAATCAGAAATTCTCTCAGATTTCTCACACATTTTCAAGAAAAAAAAATAGGAAAAGGGTGCATTATGGAGGGGGGACACATTCTATGGCAGGTTGAACCTGCAGTCTGAAAGAATATGTATCCCACTATAACTGCGTCTGGGAAACGAGAAACTAGTCCATATTCACCAAGGATATTTTGGTAATATTTTTTCCAGATCAATTTAGTGCAATGATTTATACAAAGTTTGATAATACGGACAGACAAATAAAATAATTTATTTTGATAGATGAGCCATGTGTTTGTTTGTTTATTGTTGATGTAGCAGGGGGCAATGCACAATACATGTATTGTGCCAGATATAGCTAAAAGCTTATTTTTATCTGTAGACCATGGGCGAAGGCCACTAGTAATGCGCAAGTTACAGAAAACTGTAATCAGTTACTTTGCAAAAGACATAAAAGACTTTATTAATCCCGCAAGGGGTAAGAGAAAAAAAACCTTGTTGAAACACAAAAAACAACTTTAATTACTAAAACCATAAATTAAACATTCCACAAATTGCTATTTTTAATAATTTAATATATTATATTACTAAGCATAGTAATGTAGGTCCTTCACCTTCACTGAATGGATGTCCGCTCCTACAACCAGGTGTATACTTCCTATCAGCATTATTAACCTTGAAGCAATGTGGTTCAAAGTTTTTATTTCTCGCAAATTCATAACTTTATAATATATATATACATATATATTTGAGTTTTTTCTCGTAAATTTCCTCCCCTCCCCCAGCACCTTTATTTATTTATTTATTTTTACCTACAATGAGCCTAATACACCATAGTGCGCGCACACACACACACACACACACACACACACACACACACAGGGGTGAACAAATGCAGAAAAAACAAACACATGCTTCGTGAGAAAACTTTGGGAGGATGCTGGAATGATCCTACTGATTTAGCAGTCCAATTTGCAGACAGCTGACATTAAGAGAGAGGTGCAGTGGTGTGCATGCATGATCGACTGTCCTTTGAAGAACATCCTAACTCCCTTAGGTAACTGTCTATCATAGTTTCTACAACAGCTCGATTGAGATACAGTGCTGACAGTGTCCTTTTTGTGTGTATGAATTTGAATGCTTTGGTGTCCTCTTGGTATTAACAAGGAAAGGAAAATCTAAATTCTTGGAGATTTCTTTATATAGATAAATTATGTTTATATAGATAAATAGGTGGGTATATACATTTTTGATAATGGGGATTTTGGGGACATTTGTGGTGAAGGCACAATGGATAAGACACATGCTTTGGGTGTGAGAGACCCAGGTTCAGTTCCCACTGTGACCCGTGTCCCTGAGCAAGACACTTAACCCCTAGTTGCTCCAGAGGTGTGCGACCTCTGACATGTAAAGCAATTGTAAGTCGCTTTGGATAAAAGCGTCAGCTAAATGTAAATGGGGTATCCACCTTGGCTATCGGGTTGCCTCATTTGTTCTATTTTTGACAACATACAGTACCATCTTTTCTTCTTTCCATGGCAAGAATTCATTGCAATTTGTCATAGTTTTGCATAACAGTGTTTCCTTGCTAGAGCATGGTTGAATAATGTGTTTGTGTTGTGTCTGTGCATGTGATCAAAGCCAAATGGTTTTCGGTTGCAAAACCAAAATTATTTTGCCAGTGCTCACTGTGCACATGCCAAATTCAGTTTATTTGGAGAGTGAGTGAGAGAGCTAGTATGTGTGTGTGTGTGAGCTGATGCTGTACCTTACTGTGCTCAATAATAATAGGCTTTGTAATTGGCAAAACTTTTATCTAAAACAAAATTCTGGGAATTTGGTCACAGACAGTTGGTAACCGTATGAGTGTGCCAATGTGTATGACTAATAAACCTTTGGGGCCCAGGAAATTGCAGAAATTATACACACAATGTCACACGCATTTGATTACACACATTGGGCTAGCAGAACGGAAGCCCCCGCTCACCCTCAGCATGGGTCGCTGTCTATTGATTGGCTGAGCTTTTTGTCATTCTCGGAGTCTGTCCAATCTGCCACGGACAGGATTTAAAGAAGGGGGAAACAAGGATAACTCAGCTTAGCTCATATCTATCTTCTCTGTGATCTGCATCCAAAGCAGAGCTGTGGACAATCACTACTTGAAACTCATTCAACTGGCTTTTTGATCTCGCTTGGCACAAACATGCAAACACCACCCGTACTGCACTCCTGGCAGACACATCCGCTCTAAGTAACTGGCAGGGATGAACAGAAGAGGGGCAGTCAGAGAGAGAACGCGAGCACTCATTTGTAAATGTGCCTTTCCTTATCGGCTATAGTGGGGATGAAAAAAACGTTAAGTATAAAATATGGAGCAACTTTGGAGTCACTAAAGCAAGAAGATGCATTTCTTTGACTATAAACAGCTCAATATATGAAATATTTAGATCGCATGCAGTGTATAACATCCCTGTAATATGGGTTTTTAATGAAGGGACTGAATAAAAATTTGTTTTATCTATCTAAAAAGGAACATTATGAGCTCTTTCAGTGTCTGATGGCCACAATATGAATCACAAAATACTGACAGAGGCTGACCCCTCCACGCAAATCTACAGCTCAGCAGCCTCAAGCTAAGGAGGTCAGTAACTTACACTGATAGCTGTGTCACATTCTCAAAGTGTTACAAATGCCAAATTAAGCAGTGACAATTATAATACTCTTTTGTTACTTGTTTTTTTGGCTTGGGGGTAAAGATGTACATTCATGTGGCAACAGCTGGTAAATGACAGCACCATCCTCTCTGATGAAGCAGTTGACAGCTACAACAATATGGTTGACAGAGACTTTAATTTAGGTGTGAATGACACACAGCCTATGTTGTGGTCCGTGAGAAGAGCCCAGTCCCGTCCCACTCATCTCAAAATCAAGAACCAACTCTCAGGAGAAGATGAGCATTATCTTAATATTCCTGTCGATATGGAGGTTGCACTTCCAAATTGCGAATATGGGCTGGGAACCATGTTTTAAAAAACAGAAATCTCAGCACCTATATATAATCATTAAGTTACTGGTATTGACCAAGTACCCTATCACCTCCCTGCAGATACAATATGGCTCTACAATGGAGCAGTATAAATCTTCCATCCTGGCCCTTTAACTAACAGTAGCAGATCAGATTTTGCTAACACAGCTTTGGATGTCGAACCAGATCCGGAGGTGGTCAGTACTGCATATGTAATGTGACTTCAGGCCTTGATACACTTCAGAACAGATAAGGATATGGACCTGGACAGCAGACATACCACGGTTCAGGCATAGGCGGACGTGTCAACACATGATGACAGGTTTCTCTCGAATGTGCACAGATGAGGAAATTTAGGTCATCCAGACACTTGTAGCTATCCGGATGGGGAAAGTATAATTTGAGTTTAAGCCTAAATAAATATATGCCAATATAGCAATAAACTGGAAGAATCAGGCAAAGTGTCAACATAAAGATAAATATGCTTTCACAAATTGGATCATTAAAATCTGATCTAAAAGTCTCAAAGCCACTCCTTCGATCCCAATGCTCATGTTACTAACTGTATTTTTGAATATTGAAAACAGAGTGACAGTCTGTTAAATGAGCAATGACTGCCTCTACCTCATCTCTAGTTCTCTCTGTATCTGTCTGGGACTAATCATTTCACAAAACACACCGGGATGATGAAACGGCTTCAGCAGACCCTAAACGAGAGTCATTAGAACACATCACAGACGCTCATAGATTGCTTTGAAGATAAAACGAGAGATCCTGCAATGAGAGAGCAGTAAAAAGCGCGGTAATAATAAATGGCAGCGGTCTTTTCCCTCTTGCACCTTTCAATTTCTGTCTTCCTCACAGTTTGTAGTAAAGCTCTCTCATTATGTCACTTTGAGGAACCACCAGTAACAGTGAGAGAGATGGAAGGAAAGAAGGTGGAGGAATAGGAAGAAAGGAAGATAGTAAGTACAGATTAATATTTTTTTACACCCTATTATCATCCCTTACCTTTTTAATTACTCATTAAGTAGCTTTCATACCTCCCCAAAAAGTACTGCCATTGCCAGGTCATCATGTGCTTTCCTGTTTATAATTTCCCTCTTTAACAAATGATGCATTAGTTATAGGCTAATTTGACATATTTATCATTCACTCGGATGATACTTTAAAGAGAATGGGTCAAATCAGTAGAGCCGAATCAAATTGTCACTCAGGTCAGTGTTCATTGTTGGACCGGTCTCCACTGAGTTCCAAGTGAACCAATACGCTTGTAAACACAAAGCAAATGTTCAGAACTAAGGCAAATTGCCTACTTTGGCAATGCTCCAAAGCTGGCTGGCTACTCTCCAGAATGACCACAGCTGCAACAAACTCACAAATTGTGAATTAAGTGAACTGGCACTGAATCGATTCACTCCTACCAGACAGGAAGAAAGAAAGAATCAAGTTAATTAAAGGGATCTGTCACCACTATAGTGCATTCATTTTCAGGACACAGGTCTTGGTTCCTGCGCTAGACAAGTAAAATGTAAAGATACATTAAAAAATAATATGTATAACAGAAGGTTAATTATGCTTCCAGGCATAACTTGTGAAATTAAATTTATGGTACTGTGAAGGTTTGGTCAGGTCTTTGTTTTGCGTGTTAGATTTTTGTCTCAGCCTGTTTCTAAGGGTTTGGTTTTTGTATCAGCGTGCTTGTCTTGCTCCTGATTTATTTTGAAATTGTCTGTTATCTGTTATGCTCCATGTGTCCGCCTGTTTTAGTTTGAAGTTTTCTGCGTCTGTTGTTTGCGTGTAGTTTTGATTCCCGGTTCTGTCTTATTTCCCCTCAATGTGTTACACCTGTTAATGTTCCCGCCCTGCTCCTTTGGCTCACCTTAGCCTGCTTAGTTTGGACAACCTGTTTTTGTCACTTTGTTTGGACAACCTGTTTTTGGGATTTCTTTGCTTTGTTTGAAGTACTTTATTTCCTTTGGATTTACTTGGTCTCTGACACTGTTGTAGTGACACTTTTTGCTAAATAAATGATCAGAACACATCTTGCCGGTTCTAGTGTCTTGCGTTTGGGCCAATCCCTGTCTGCACTCGGTGTAACCCTAACAGATATTCTCATACTTTTTGTATGTTGTCGTGTCTTTCAAACTGTAACTGGCATTCTTTTCTTTCACTTGTTTGAAAATTGTGATTTCTTCAGTTGTGTAATATCAGCTAGATATATCTAGATTTACAGAAACATTCACCTTAAATAAATAGTGTTAGTATATAATTAGAGTTTATTAGCCTTGTAAACTCTCATATTTACAAATAGTGAAGCTACTGCTTCAAGACTTTTGTTTAATAAGCAGAGCAAAAATATTGCACATCAAGGGGACAGATCATAAAACAAGAGCAGAACTCTAATTAAGTAACACAGAATGGCATGTAACCATAAAGCACAAAGTATGAGTCAAAGGTCAATGCTCAATGCTCAGTCAAAGAAAGAAACACTAAGATGAGTAAGACAAAAAGGAAAATGGATGATGATAAAACATATAAACATCAACTTACATGGGATTCCCAAATCACTCTTTTCTTTGGGCTCAGAGGACTTCTGAAAAAATGAACCTTGGGATGGGAAAAAGAAAGGGATGGTGGAATGGATGGAGGAAGGGAGAGGAACACAACAATCAAAATCAAACAAACAAGCCAAATAAAATGGGACAAACATGGACAGGACACGGACACAAAAAAGCCAACGTTTGATTCTTTCTGTCTTTCAAGTTTGGTTGTCCTAGTCCACAAATTCAAAGGTCTGAAGCAAAACAAAAAGCTCAAAAATAAAAAAAAGAAGATCATTTGAGAAAGTCTCATGTCTGTACGACAGTTACTGCTGTGTCATGCTGAGTGGTCCACTTATCGTGGCAGACAGACGGTCTATGACATAGATGAACTGCTGATGTACTGATGTATAATTGAAATGCAGGTGTATAATTGATAAAGTCAACACAGCAACATGGTGAGCTTAAAAGCTTCTTGCTAGAACAGCTAGATGTACAAGACACACTGATACGTCACCAAAGAGCCAGAAAAACTGATAAGGTTAAGTGGGGTGATGTGCAAATATAAACATACAGTAACACTCATGCACAGTTGACAGGCATAATGTGGTGTTTCTTTTTAGCTATGCAGCTGGGCTCGGCTATGTTGCTCAAGAATTTTAAGGTTAATGTAATTTACCCATAAACAGTAAACTCGAGGTGGTTATTGGCATGAATTAGCATGTTTCAACACTATTTTATCAGCTGCATTATTCTTGTTTTAAATTACTTAGCAAATGGTTGCATTTACATGACTGCATCTAACAAAAGTCATGCTGATTAATGTCTGAATCAGTGATGATAGTAGGAGCAGCATTCCATGAGATTCATCACGTTGCAATTACAACACAATTGTTCAAACAAACACGAAAACATGATGGCAGTAAAATGAAGCGTAAATGATTTAGTGAGAGCCAACACAAGGATTGTGGAAACAAAAGATAGCATAGATGAGGACAAAACTTTTAAGAAAATGAGCAGAAGAAGGCAATCATGCAGTGCAGGAAACAATAGGACAAAGTGAAGCGATTAGAATGAGAAGAGTGGGAAGACTAGGCTTGTTTGATGCTCTGCAGAACCTGCTGACACTGCTGATCCTTTTGTATAACACAAACGTGATTCAATGTTCTCTCCAAACGCCAATGTTACGCAACAACCAGTATCTCTAGTGATTACTGTGGTTTTAGAGACCACACAGCAGATTTTATTTGCTCTGAAGGTACTGTTATGTTGCACGCACACACATACACATAGAGTAGGTAGTGAGTGAAATGTCATGCTCTCAAGGATGACACGGTGGAGCTCTGAGTGAATCTGTTCCAAGAATCCTGATCGATGTGTCAGAAAAATGTCAACAGGCCAAAAGACATAAAACAACACAAACAAAAAAACTTGAAAGACCTACAACTTCTGTCACAAGAACACACACACACACACACACACACACACAGACTCGTACTGATATAACTCTCAGATAAACACATAAACACAAAGAGAGGGGAGGCACTCCAAGCGGGGCAGAAGTGAGGTCGAATGGATTTCTACCTCTCAGGATTTAACAGGACAACTTTAGAAAAAAGGGCAGCGAGAGATGGTGGAAGAGCTGAATAGAGAGGTGGGAGGGGTTAGCGGAGAGAGAGATAGAGAAAGAGGGCGAGTAGAGCGAAGTGCTTTTTGAGCATAAAGTCAATTACGGAGCACTATCTAAAACATTAACTCCCCCTCTACAGCGACAGGGCGTTATCAGTTAATTCAAAACCCTAAAAGTTACTAATTTTAATACCAGCAGCTAACCACTGATGAACAGAATCTGAAGATCTGGTGTTTAAAACGTGAAAGACAGACATGTTCAATATAAACAAAGCAGGAACTAAAATTGTAGTTTGTATCTGGAGTTGTGCCAACAACACTTAGTTTCAAGCAAAAATCTGTTTTCTAAGCTAAATGAGGAAACAATTTTGTGCTTTACATATGCTGTCCATTGTATCATTCATTCACACTTGCTTTGGCAATGTTAACATCTATTTCCCATGCCAATGAATTCAATTGAATTGATTGCTTAAACATTTTAGTGTAACTGCCCAATTGGATACCAGCCCCAATGAACCATGTTCTGTCTAAAGACCACATTTTAAAAGACCCATCATTCATAAATCTGGAAAAATGGAAGAATGATACAGGAATCACTTCAAGCCCTTCAAATATACTCTACCTATAAAATGCTTTGCATGCAGAAACCCCCTTTAACAACCACACGCACACCTAGACACACACAAACACACACACACACACACACACAGTTCATGGATTCCGGTAAATGCTACAGGAAACAGCTGAAACATTAGTGCTGACATAAAACCACGTCTGTGGAGTCATTTTAAAGACAGGAAATCAATCAGGGGAAATTAGCCTAAATCTATACCTCTCTAGGTTTTATCAGAGATTCTGTGGCCATACCTGGGCCTCAGGGAATCCTTTTGATGGACCAGAGACACAGTATATAATTCATTGCATAAGGAGGGGGAAGGGCTCTACATATACAGTAAGTTCTGTCAATAATGTGTCTACAGGCAAAGCTTTTTGATGGATTATATAATATTGTTCCGTTGCTCATGACATAGACCATCTATTAAATGATCACTACTATCCACTCCCCTCTAGATGCAGAGAGAAGTCCCTCAAACAAGTAATGGCTCACTATGCTGAAGGCTTTATGCTCACTGATAAGTACATTTATCCTGAACAACACTCCTGACTGCATGCTTGTGACCATTTTATTTATTTAACCCTTATTTGACCAGCAATGCCTCTTTGAGATTCTAAATAATTTTTTAAGAGCCCAAGCTACAATAGGCAGCAATAAACCGGAGTTTACATCCCAAAAACAATCTAGGATCATACAATCAATAGGATGATGAGACTATGCAGAGTTTATGCAGCAATAGTATATATTCTCTAAAAAGATCCCAAAGTCAATTTTAGTCCATGTACCAGGATCATCATGTAGTACATAAAAGCTCTTTCATATAATTTGTTGCACAAAAGTAAATCCTGGGAACAGAGGGGCATAACTATTCACACTGATTGAATGTATTTGCCATTACAGTATTTGTTTTGTATCATCAGGTCAGGTCAATTTCGAAAAATGTTACTTACAGTATTGCTCTTTATGGAACCTCTTAAGACAAACACAGATGATCGGATTCTCAAAAATAATTCTAGCAATTGAGGAAAATTCTCTCAATGGCTGCCATGTGTGAAAAGAAAGACTAATGAGAATAAATGGCAATGGCAAAGCATGAGTGTGTACAGTATGTGCACTTGTTTCAAGACTTGTTTACCTTTTCTCTCGTCAAAACTCTTGACAGTTTCTCTCTTTCTGTCTCCCCCGCCCACCTTCACGTCAGATGCTTGTCTGCCAATTACTCTGAGCACAGGGAGTAGCAAGCACTATACCTACAAGTCAACAAATGTAATTGCCACCACCTTGGAAAAGCTGTTGCTGCTATGTTTGTGGCATTATGAATCAGCCCACATTTTCCATGTGGTTTTGAAATTGACCAATTTTATTATTTACTGGTGTCAGAAATCACTAGTGTGTGTGTGTGTGTGTGTTTTAGGCTTCTGGAAAAAAGGCATAAAACCAGAGGGACTGAGACAAAAAGGAAAGAAATAAAAATCAAATGAGGATAAGACTTAATGTAAAGAGTAGCCGGGGTTGCAAGAGGAGAAGAGAGCAAGATGAGAGAACTGACCAGACACCAACACTGAACGACAGTAACATTGTAAAGAAGAATGTAAAGAAAGATGCGAGAAATGACAAGGACGGGAGCAAGAAGAGGAACACTGCCAAACAACCGCAACACAGAGTAGTGAATAAAGGCAACACTTTTAAATTCAAGACTGATTTCCTAACATCTTCAGGAACAATATATTTTAATGGTTAGTTCTGTTTATACAATATTTAGTTACGCATTTCTCAATATGAATTAGTAAATAAACCCATTTAAATGTCATGTTACACTTCACTCACTATGGCTCAGAAAATCCGACCATGTATCGCCACCCCAATGGCCTGTCTATCTGGAGTCAGTTAACTTTCAAATCAATTGTCATCTGAAGCAGACACTGCAAGCCATTTGTTCGAATTGGCATACACATTTTTCATGGTTAGGCATGATATATAACACAACTTCAGTGCCTTTAGAAGTGATATGTCAATGCTTCTTCAGTTACATCAACTCACTTTGCATACAGAGTCCGTCTGTACAGTTCTGAGACTGGAGAACCATCCCCTCGCAGTCCTTTCCTCCATTTTTAGGTGCTGGGTTGTTGCACTCCCTCCTCCTCCACTGGGTACACTCTGTCCCACAGGCCGACCACTTACTCCATTCTGTCCACACACCGTCCACTAGAAGGAAAGGATGGGGAAAAGAGCCAGAATAAGAAACGACAAGAACAGATATGAGACCAAGGACAATGTCCTCAAATTGGTTCCAAACCCACTTAAGTGTATTATATGTAGGGTGGAAAAGTACCAAACAAGAAAAGAAGTGGAATAAAGCAGAAGCTAAGAACAGCTAGAAACGCGTAGCTAGAAAAAAAAAGTAAAATAGCACAAAGAATATAATTATATAGTACACTGTAGATAGTGAAGTGGTAGGTACACACATTTGGGGGCTGGGCGATATGGTCAAAAAACATTTTTGGCCATATCGCCCAGCCCCCAAAAAATTTCAGACCATTCGGTATCGATTATTATCACAGTCAATGTCAAATCATTATTTTGTTCAAGTTTAAAGGCAGATTTTTGCTCCTGAGTGAAAATTGAAGAAACAAGATGCTTAATTATTAAACTTTTCTGTATGGTCAGAACGTGACAAACACTTGATGCCAAACAGTGGACCACTTCACAAGTCTGAGGTAGAACATTCAAAACTATTATGAAAAAAGCTTTTTTCAAAAAATGTGATTAGTAAAAACTTTTTTCAGTCCCTTTTCCTCAACAAAATAAATATCTTAATAGAAAAATGAAGTGCTAATTTGTTCATGATTCAAATGAATTCAATCAAAAATTGGGTACAGTAGAAGATACAAAAACAAACTAAACTAAAAAAATATTGGATAAAATTGGACTAGAATACATCAGACTAGAACAGACATACCGGTGCACAGTGTGGTACAGGGCAGTTTTTGTATGGCCTGTCCATCACAAGGCAGTCCTCCGTTGAGAGGGGCAGGGTTTGTGCAGCTGCGGGTTCGTTTCTGGAAGCCCCTTCCACAACGGCTGTTACACACTGACCACTCCGTCCATGTCGACCAACCACCGTTCACTATGGCAACAGAGATCAATAACTTTGTAAATGCATTTGTTCCTCTTTCATTGAAAGTATTTCAACTTTTTCCATTTATTTGATTGTTTAAATCCCTTTGTCAAAAAAAAGTGTTGTTAACATCAGCTCTAAAAATTACTGGCTGAACACAAAGACCCCTTGCACAGCACACTCACACATGTCCTCTATGACTACTTTAAGCTAATGCCATCAGGAATGTGTTTTAGATCGTCTGTATAGCAAATAGAAGGACGTTTATTCCAGAAGCCATTAAGACTGACAGCCACAGTACAATAACTGGTCCTTTTACTTTGTAAATATATTGATAAATACCACTGTGTATTTCAACTCTTTCTAATTGTCTTTGCCTCTGAGGGACAGTATTTTCAAATGAACCGGACAACCATCTGTGGTAGACATACTAATGGGAAAGCCTCACATTTTGTAATGTTTATACAAAATAGGTCTGTGATGAAGCAATTAAATGGCACAGGGTGCATTAAAATCTGATTGTGTTGTTTGCTGTTATTGAACTATTTTTCTTGATGGAGTCAGTGCGTGTTTTGCACATAGCTGGAGGCTGAGTTGTTGAAGTTTAGTGAGAACAGCTGGATTTTCCTGCACACCAAAACCACACACACACACAGTCTTGTGCAACCTTTCGATTACCCTGCTGCTACTGTAGAAACACTTTTTCCCCACTGTGTTCACATGCTGTCATGTTGCTTGCAAATTACTTAACCCTGAACTTGCTCTGGAGAGAGCACAGGAAGAAAAAAAAAGAACTATTATAGGGCGGATCATGGTTCTGGGTTTTTGCGAATCCTCAGTAGCTAAAATAACATGTGTGTTTTCAAAGTCTGTTTGCATCACCCCCCACCCCCTAATCCCCATATTGTCTCTTTAAATTTTTTGTACCCATACTAGATTTCCGTCATTTCAAATCATTTAGATTTGATTGTTGCTTCATTATTTTGTATTATTGTTGTTTATCATAAGGAAAATGTGGCAGCATAGTGCAGACAAAGATAAGGGCAGATGGGAGACAGACAGAAGAGAGAAATTACGTATAAAGTTAGAATGAGTCACAAGGACACCCAGGGAGAGTGCTGACATCCAGAGAGGTGTGGTGGGGTGAAATTCCTCTGCTGCATCGCAGCAGCTCTGTCTCAGCCCACTGGACATTACCCACACTCATTTCCCAACGCCCAATTAGAAATGAATCATCAAAGAGAAAGTAACCGTTAAAATCACGTACAGTCACTTTTGTCATCTGCGTTGTTAGGTTGTTCAACTCTTTTTTCTCCCTTATGCACTCACCTGCTTTCTCCCACTCTGTTGTTCTCCTCTGCCTCTCCTTTCTCCTCACCTGCCTCCCCATCCATCTATAGCTGTTCCATTTTCCCCCTTATGTTCCTCTGTTTTTTCTGCGACTATTTCACCTTGTCAACAGTGTCAGCAGGGCCCTTGTGGAGCCGAGAAGATTGAACCACAGATTGAACAATCTATTTCTGTAAGGATACATCAGTGTCAAACCACTCCATCTCTCGCTGTCTGTATCGAACACGCACACATGCACAGTTATTTTTGATTGAAACACTCCTCCTAGTGAATAGACTCGGTGTTACATTTGAGAGAAACACTGTGTGTAGGTATGTGTGTGAGTGCTCTGCTATACATTGTTTCTCCTCAAAATGTTTCCTGTCTTCTCATGTCAGGCTGACATTTGGTAAAAAGAGAAAAAAAAAGGGAAAGTGAGACAAGGCATATGAGGCATTTTTCCTTCACATTTTTTCTTCTCAGTTTTTAGTTAAAACAGCAAGAGAAGGGCACTGCCTGAAAGACAAACTAACACCACTCGGAACAGAGCTATTCAGAGTTATTTTCTGTTGTTTTTCGCAGCTGTTATCATCCCATATGCTGCACAATTTATTTGGTGGTGGGACTCAGGTTTGGCTGAAGGCTCAGACATTTGGAAAGCCCAAATGCTCTAATTTAAAACTGAAGTTGTGATTGGTGGATTTTAATTGGGTGAGGTCAGGGGTGATGTGAGAATATCAGGCCAATCACAAAGAGAGAGGGTTGGCATGGCGGTAGAGCTAATTTCATGTGGCAGATGGGGGCTGGCTTGGCCAATCAGAGACATTGTACGGTAGTTTCTATAAAGGCGTCATATCTTAAAATTCTAGTCACTAAAACAGATAATCAAAATAATTATAGCTTTAGTGACAAGATTGTCAGCAAGCCGCGAGCATGCAAACTTACCATAAACAATGACAGTTGCTGTGGTGCTCCGTCTTTTGGCCACTATGTTCTTAGCCACACATGTGTAGTTGGCCGTGTCAGACAGACGCGCCTGTTTGATGATCAGATTGTGGTCGATGGTGATGTAGAAGTTTCTGTCCTCTGCTGGGTCAATTATCTCTTCATTCTTCAACCACTCCACCTGGGAGACAGAGAGAGGAGAAATTAGGTCAGATATAAATGTTTCTCTACACCTCTGATATATAAAGAGAAAAGATGTAGAAAATGTAGCTAACGCAAGATGATAACAGTGAATTGCGTTTTTGTGTAATGACACTATAGAGCCAATGTCTAATCTGATTTTATGGTGAACAAGGAGTGTTTGCCTCAAAACAAACTTCAGTTTGTTTTTGCAACAAACTATTCTCATACATAACATGTTACAGAAATCAAATGTAAAAATTTACAAGCAAATAAATCTAGTGTGTACTTTCTGGGGTCGGATGTAAAAATAATTATGAATAATGAAACGCTTCCTACAGGAAGATGTTTATGCATCAAGTCACAAAAATCATATAGCTGTAATAGTAAAGACCATCTACAGTGGGCACTTCACAATATGGAACCCCCGGGGGGCAGTGTAAAAATGGAGGAAAATGTCCTGAACATATGCTTTCCCAAGGTGCTTTGGGTAAAGGGTGGGACAGCGGGAAACTATCCTATTTATGAGCCTAATCACATTTCCTGAGTGCTGTATTTACTGGTCCAAACCCTCATAAATTCAGCCTGTCCAAGCTTTATGGCAGGCACATAAATGTCCGAGCCGCGTTGTTTAATTCACGTTGTTTAATTTCCTCCTCCCTTCGCATTAGGAAATGGAAATCTCAGATGCAGAAAAGAAGAAATTCAGTGTTATTCTGCATTTTACTACCTTCTCAAGCTCGGCTGTCATTCTTCTCTCTCTCTCCCTGTTACTCTACCTGCTTCCCTCTCTGATCTTTAGAGATTCGCCAGTGCTCTTTGGCCATGGGGCTCATTGCAGCGCTGGATTCTCAAATCTTAAGTGAGATGCTGTGTGACCTTTCAGTTTCTATTACAAAGTAAAGGTTATATTGGAGAAAAAAAGCAAAGACAAAAAAACAGAAACATATTTTTATTTATGCAGTGCAAATGGTCAGGCAAGGAGTTTATCCTTGTACTGCAAAATAATGTTGGTGCTCTCTCACTTACAAAAGCAAATGCAATGCATGTTATATGGATTTTTATTTAGTCTTGTTAGTTAAATAAGCTGTACTGTGGTCACAGAGAAAAACAGCACACAGACAAACTCAAACACAGAGTTCAATGCAATATTGTTGTTAATATTTGTTGCACTCTGTACTTAAATCAGCGGCACATATTGTGGCTGCAGCAGTTATTAGACGTGATGACAATAACTTATTTATTTTTTACTAATTTGTAGTCTGAAAAAATGTACTTTTACATGTTTTTTCACCGTTTTATTTTCTATAAGTTTAACTTGACTGTCTTGGCTTCTCACTTATATTAAATAAAATTAATTCAGACTCCTTTAGTTCAGTATAATATACATGGTGCACATATGTTGACAGGAAGCTAAATGCCTTTCCCTCATCAGGACTGAAGAAAAATAAAATAGAATCAACTATGAGAAAGGTTTTCCTATTGACTTAACTGAATGTTCAAGGCCTAAAGTCATCAGCAAGAGTCTCACCCCCAAATTGAATTTGCCATTTGATGATCAAAGCAGCATGATAAAATACCTGTAAGCTTGTGCTGAACCACCAACGCAGGGGATATTGAAAGATAAAACAAGTTACATTTACCTGACGGTTTTATCCAAAGCAACTTACAATTGCTATATATGTCAGAGGTCAAACACCTCTGGAGCAACTAGGGGTTAAGCGTCTCGCTCAGGGACACAGCAGTGGATGGGTCACAATGGGGAGTTGAACCCAGATCTCTCACACCAAAGCCATGCGTCTTATCCACTGCGCCAACACCAGTTAAATTGGATAAGACTGCTGAAAAACGAAAAAATGATCCCAAGTGAACTATCCCTTCAAGCTGCCTAAGGACGCTGAGGGACAGCAGGTGTCCCTGACTGTATTCAACTATTTTAATGTCAATGTAAGTCAGTTAGTGTAAAGTGTTAGTGTTTCCTCTTTGTAAGCTTTACCTAGCCAGTACCAGTTGGGCAGCCACAACCTTCCACCCCCACATTTCCACAAGTTATCTGTTGGTTTGGTTTGGGGACCACAGTGGCCAACACTAGAGAAAATAGTTAACTCTACGTCATGTCCCTGGAGTCCCTGGAAAACTGATGTGATGGCACTAAGGGTGACCCCGAATAGTCGAAGATTTGTTGCTTCGATAGAAGGAGCCTGATTTGACTGTCAATCTCTGTAAATGCTGTAAATAAAAATGTGAAAAGAAAGAAGCTTTAAATAAATCTTTACAAAATGCATGAATAAATCCAATCTTGTAACCCTAATATGTGTGTGTGTGTGTGTGGTAGAAGAGGAAAAGACAGCTACCTTCTGTAGTGGCTTATAGTAAAGGAGTGTCTTGTTCAGAGTAATCAAATACTAATAATACCCATAATATACTGCTTCATCACAACTTCTCAGATGAGTGAACTATTCAAGTAACCTGTGAGTCTAAATTGATGAAGCGGATAATGACTGTAGTTCATAATTTATGCGAATGGATAAGTGCACGCTTTAAAGCTTGAAAGATTGGAAGAGAGATAGCAAGAGAGAGAGAGAGAGAGAGAGAGAGAGAGAGAGAGAGAGAGAGAGAGAGAGAGAGAGAGTGTGTGTGTGTGTGTGTGTGTGTGAGCTTTAAAGGATGGGAAAAGTCAGAGAGGAAATTGAGAAAGATAGAAAGGTGTAAATACTAGTGTTTCATCTGTGAAAGATAAAAGACCAGAGATGAACACATAAGTTAAATAAGTGGTCAAAAACACAGTAAAATACGACTCAGAAAAAGCTGATTATAGTTTTCTGTCTGTGTGTTGTGGTTGTGTTTACATTAAATGAAATCAAACTTAATTTGAATTGTTTGAGACTGATACAATAGGGGGAACAGTGCACAAGTCATGATAGAACTTCATTAGGACAAATATGAGAAATGGAGAAATAACAGAAGAGAAGTTGTAACAAACATATATGTGGTGTACATTCTTACTGATATCCCAACTTAACAACAAGATACAAGGATTATTGAATATCAGAGACTCCTCTGCACAGTTATACCGTCCGTCCGTCCATCCATCGTCTTTCCACAATCTCCATTCTAATCTTTTTGATACTTTGTTAAAACTCCACAGTTCGTGTATTCAACCATTTACTTTGCTTCTTAGTTCCTTTACTGCAAACACTAATACGCTACTGTCAGTCAACAAAACCAATGAGGACAAATGTGTCAACCTTTTTTAAAAGTAATTTGAAGCCCCCTTCCAATTAACCTATAACTTGCTTACTATAGCAATGTCTACTGCAGTGCTAAAACAAGCAACACACACGAAAAAATAGCTGTGTGTGCGTGCATGCGTTGAAAAGTAGCACAAAGTATATAAAAAGCAAATATTTCTCATTTGCCATTAGAACCAATGGTCATTGACACACATCAGTGAAATCAACTGTCACATCAACAATATCATAAATGTTTGTTATGTCATCCAAACAATACATTAAAAGTACTAAAAAAATATATACAACTAAGAGCATTTACTGGCAGCTTATTCATTTTAGTGGTGAGCTCTTGTGTGATGATGCACTGAAAATAGCAGCAGTCGTTGATGATGCCTGTGAGACTGACGTGTGCTCTGCTGGGCTCAGACAAAGAGACCACATGTGGTGGATATACGGCCATTGCCACAGCATCATTAGCCACAGCTGGTGTAAGAGAGTGAGTGTGTGTGTGTGTGTGTGTGTGTGTGTGTGTGTGTGTGTGTGTGTGTGTGTGTGTGTGAGTGAATGGCAGAGGGTGGCTGATTGGATCAAGCCAACCCCAGGGGAGAATGTGTATTTGTTATTTTAACTCTCACCCCCACTTCACCTGTCTCTCTCGCTTTATCCACACGCCAGTAGACACACACACACACACACACACACACCCAGAGCAAACAACACCAGTAAACCTGTGGTTTATAGCCATGCTGTAGATATGAAATAATGACATTATACATGCCTGTGTGGACTTCAAATGCTTGCAGCGTGTGATCACACGTGCCCTCTGTTTCAACTGTAACAGGATTTTAATAGAGGTTCAAGAAAAGTCCATTCTTCTTTTCTTTAGAAAGAGGAGGCTTTGTCTGATCAATTACACACTCGCTTTATTCATGTTTTCTTTCTGGTTGACCCAGTGACTGAGACATTCATTTGGATACAGGGATATTTCAAACCTTCTGCACCTGAATGCTAGATAAAAGTTTGGATGTCCTCAGTTCTTAATAACGCACTTGTTTGTAGTGTTTGGATTTTGCAATATACACCATGTGTTATGAGGAGTGATGAATTCTAATATGTAATTACTTCCACATGTTTTCTTACCCACAACTTAAGGACAAATGTCCCATGTCTTGCTCTGTAATATCAAGGCAGTTTATTGAGATATGCATCTTTCTTTGGCAGTGGAACAAAGGCTTGGTTGCATGCTGTGCAAGATAAAAGTAGGCCATGATATAGAGATATATGCTCTCTTTTGTTGCACTGGAGAGCAGCACAAAATGTTTTGAGACGCAAAGCTTTGCCACATATCTGCTACTGAGAGCAAGAACATCATAGTCACACTATGTCACAAAGAGAAACAGTGTAAATCTTGCAAAAGCAAAACAAATGGCAGACCACAGAGCAAGAAGTGAGATAACAAAGCAAAGAATATCTATTACAAATGCTAAAATATGACATGCTTTGTGGAGCCACTACAAAGAGTCTCACATGGGAGTTGATAAGAGCACAGAGATAGAGGGTCCGTGGATAGAATCTGCCACTGAATCACAACATTCATTTTCAAAAGTAGCAGCAGGCATAAACACACAGATGCACAATAAAAGTATGACGAAAACACAAAATAGACCAGTTAAAATAAAATCTGATTCTGCTATCAAAGTCAGGCAGGGTAATCACGCTGTATCACATGTGTGTGGGGAAGCCTATGTGTGTGTGTCTGTGAATCAAG